CTCTCTCTCTCTCTCTCTCTCTCTCTCTCTCTCCCCCTCTCACTCTCTCTTTAAAAAAAAAAATATGTTTGGGAGAATTATAAGGAATGAAATTCTAGGCACCACCCCACTTCCAGGAGTCCTGGCATCTACCATACAGGCCCCATTGCCAACTTGTGGAGTCTATGAAGGCTGAGAGACATGGAGGTGGGACCTTCAGGGAACCAGGGTGTCTCTGGCCCTGGTTTGCTAGAGGGGGCATCTGTAGCTGACCAGAACCCAGGAGTGCTGATGTGACCTTGCCCTCTAGGATGGAAAATATTGGACATATCCTACATCTGGAATGTCCTGAGCCCTCCTCCCTTACCTTCCCAGGGCTGAAAGTCACCTGTTAGCAATGTGGGTGCACACTCTTGAGAGTGTGCCCATGTTAAGGGAGAATGTTCTGGGCCTAATGGTCTGAGGTGCCTGCACTTGGAGACTGGTAGCCTGGGACAGTGCTGGGGTCCATCAGGGTAGCCTGGGCTGTCTGGAGGTCATGTCAGCTCTGAATGGGCATCACACCCCTTTTAAACCACGTCAAGGAGTACGTCTACCCACTGCTGAAACCATGCCGTGCTGAGGGCAGGTGAACCCAGCCTGATGGGAGGGAGGGTGATGACATGTGACTGTGACAGAGACCTCAGAAGAGGACATGTGCTGAGGGTCCTGTTATCAGGGCCTGGCATCTGTCTGAAAAGGGGTGGGCCTGGGAGGAGAAGTTGGCTGGTCCTTCTGGGTGGCCAGACTGGATCTAAAAAGGTTGTTAGGCAGATGGCTTAGGTGAGCTCTGCCAGCTGGAAAGGTCTATACTTGTGAGGGGCCTCCCTGGCTCTTGGTTTATATCTAAGAGGTGGGGGACCCTCTGGACTGAGGGCACCTATAAACTCACCCAGGGTGCAGGTTGCCCTCCACAAGGGCCTGTGGGTCTGAGCACTAGGATTTGGGGCCTGTGCTCATCTTCAGCTCAAAGCCATGTATCTATTTCTACCATGAGAAAGTCAAGGATGATGACAACTAAGCCTTCTTCCTGGTTTTAATGGGGACTGGTGGAAAGTTAGTTGTAAAGCTATGATTGTGCTGGATGAGTCTGGGGCAAAGCTGTGGCAGGGACGAGCAGAGCAGACCTGGTACCAACTGTAGCTGGGATGCATGTACCTTCTCAGACCCTAGAGGCCCTGGATGCCAGTATCTTTGGGGTATGTGTTTGGCGCCAGGAGCAGGGCCTGGGCAGCCCCATGTGTTGAGGAGGAAGGCAGGGTCCCTGGTCCCCAGGCCCAACCCCACAGCTTCAGTCCCCTATCGGGCTACCCAGAGCCCAGGCCATGAAGACCCATCAGGAGAAAAGGGGACCCTCTGTAGTACCATGTTACCAGTTTAGGTGGACAGTACTGGCATGCACGTGGGACCACCTGTGCTCTAGGATGGAGAATGCAGCATGTGTCCTGCACATGGGTTTTCTCATACCTGGTGTAGCCACATATCTGTTTTGCAGGCAGTGCTAGACTCATAGCAGAAGCAACATCAGGAAGCTACCCCAAGGCTTCAGGTCAGCCAAGTGTGCTTTCCTCTCCCCACAGACCCTTCTTTCTGCCAATTCTATAGACTCTGAGAGGAGACCTCAAGGAGGGAGGATCCCAGTAGGGTAGAGAAACAGGTGGATGGAGCCTGACCCCTGAGACCCTGGAGGTGACACAAAGCCTTGTGCTGCCTTCTCTTGACTTCATACAGCTGAGAAATACATTTCTGTCTTCTTTGGATCTGTGTTCTGGAATTTCTGATGCATGAAGCAAGTCTGTTCTGGGTGGCTGGGGGGGGCGGGTAGCCCTTCCCCTTTAAACCTATCAAGGCAATGGAGGGCTCAGACTCAATCCTGTCCATAGCAGGACTTAACTACCCACCCTTATGGGGCTCCCTTGAAGTTCTGAGTGTGGTGACACTGTCAGTTGAGCCACCCTGTTGGACCAGGCAGGACTAAAGGACAAAACATGCAGGCTTTGCCACGGGTGTCATTTTCAACTCTATGGTAGCTGGACCACAAAGAGATGCAGAGGCAGAGTCGTGGCTCCTTGATCTCATTGGAGTTAGCAGCAGAGCAGGTCCTAGAACCTCTGGGGAAGATTGGTCAGCCTGGGGCCTGGATGGGAGTATACTGGAAGGAGAGCAGGGCAGGAGTCCATGGTGCCCTGTCCTGCCTAGAACTGCTACAACTCAAAAGAGCCAAGTGGGTGGGTTCCTGGGACTTGGTCTTTACTGTTCCTCTGGTGACTGGGGTCCAGCACAGTGTCTTGCCCTGAAGATGCACTGGGTGTGGGAGGCAAAGTGTCAACCCATTGTGTTGCTCCTTGGGGTCCCTTCTAACTAGGCTGCTGCGGCAGTCACCCATGCTTTGTGCTTGGGTGCAGCTCTGGGCTCCTCCCATAGACACCTCTGGAACCTCCTAACCATATACGTGCCTGCCCTTTCTGGTTCCCACAGTGTTCTCCATTGCTGTGGGTCATCTCCTAAAGGATTCTGGTTGTGACAGTCCTCACCTAAGTCCTGCTGGCAGCTCTCTCCCGCTTGTGAGAAGATGACAATCTCCATGTGTACTGAAGCAAGCTGCTTTCATGTGTGTGCCTCACATCAGCTGTTTCTTAAGTCCTACTAAATACCTTTTCTCACCCTCTTATGGTTTCAAAGGAGAAAAATAAGATTCCTGAATCTCCAACACAGGGATTTAAGTCAAGTCAAAGGACATCCTGTAGCAGGACTCGTGGGTTCACTGGCCTGTCTCTCCCAACTCCACAAACCCAGCAATGGACAACCTTAAGCTTGCTGACAAGTTGCATGGCCAGAACAGTCCCACCTCCCAGCCTAACAACCATCACAAACATTTTTTATAGCACGAAACTAAAAGATGATAATTCAAAGAAAATTAGGGAGGCAGCAGAGCTACTGGGAACTATCTGCAGCTTTGGTAAATCTTAAAAGATTAACAAAGACATGAATTTGAAATTGACTCAAATAAGCCAAAGTGATGAAAACAAGTTTTTCTAAAACTGAATTCTAAAAGAATTTTAAAAAATAAGGGCTGGGGTTGTGGCTTAGTGGTAGAGCATTTGCCTAGTGCATGCGAGGCCCTGGGTTTGGTTGTCAGCACCACATAAAAGTAAATAAATGAGTAAATGAATGAATGAATGAATGAATCGTCAGTACCACATAAAAATAAATGAATGAATAAATAAAACGTTAAAAAAAGAATTAAAAAAAATAAAAGGACTAGGGTGGTGTGGCTCAGAACCTCTGGGTTCAGTCAGAAAAAAGAAATCTGAATCACTGAAGTTTTTGAAAACTAAAACTTCAGTGCATAAATAAAAAGGAAGTGATAGGCAGGGGATACAGCTCAGTTGGTAGAGTGCTTGCCTCACATGCACAAGGCCTTGGGTTCAACCCAGCACCATGCACAAAAAAGGAGGGGGGGGACTGATGCTGAAGAATCTTCTGGAAGATGGTTCATGCCCCCAAGTGACCCTGGAGCCAGAGGCCTCCTGCACCAAACATGTTCTCTTGATCTGGCCTGCTCCGTCACCTGATGGCAATGAATCCTCTAAGTTTGCTCCCTACGGGGAAAAGCAAATTTCTTTGTGTGAAACTTGGTATAAGAGCCGCATATTTGGACTGTGAGAGAATGATCCAGACCTGTCCCCCCATCACATGTGTGACTCGCGGGCTGTGATCATGTTCCCTCAGCCTTTATTTTCTGGACGGTCATAGTGTGTTTAGTGTATGCGCAGGAGACAGCTGCTCAGTCCCTGTAATGGTTCCTGACTGTCCTGTGGCCAGTAGCTTCTCAGAGGTACAGCTGGGAACAGAGGAGGACTGTATGCCTAGTCTGGCCACCGTCTCTACCTGTGCTGGCTGCTTCTGGAAGATACTTGTGGGAGGGTGCTGGGTCTGCGGTCAGGTAGGCCTGGAGTGGTAGCCACACCCTGAGGAGCATCGACTCTGGGGTGCCTCTGGGATGCACTGGAAACTGAGGTCTCAGCACCTAGTCACAGCTGATATCTTTCCTTCACAGATGGAGGTCATTTGAAACTTTTTGTCCTCAGCAGCCTGAAGAGCCTTGCCAAAACTCATCCCTACTGGCTTCCTCTGTCCTCCCCAGGGGAGCTTAGTGCATATGTAAACGTGGACAGGTCCCAGAGCCCTTTCTTTCTGTGAACATGTAGAGAAATTCAGTCTCTGGGTCAGCTGCGGTCCTGAGACAGCTCTTCACCTGTTCACACTGCCGGACCTGTTCTGGGCCTGGGAATGTGAGTTCCATAGAGTCTGCCTTTGGGAGTGGAAATTTGCATGCTGATTCTCATACAAGGGCCCTGGCACACTTGATCCATTCTGTGCAGACTGCCTTGATTTTTTTCATATCATAGAAAAAAGTGATTAAAAATAAAGGATAAGAGAAACTCAGACGGAGAGGGTACACAACTGTGCACAGGCTTGTCCAGTCCCTGCCTAGTGCCCTGGAGGCAGCAGACGGCTCCTCATCGTCCCTCCTCTGCAGTGGGGGGTTGTAGGTGGGCAAAGCTCAGAAAGACTTGCTCCAGTGAGATCTGGCTCACTGAGTAGTCATCCACTCCATACTTCTCCTTGGCTTTCTCCAGGATACCAAAAACCTTTGGGAGGCAGAAAAGCAACTGGTAAGAAAGCTCAGGACCTAGGCTCCCTAGCAGGTGGGTAAATCCTCTGGCAATAAGAGGCTGGCAAGGAGCCAGGCACAGTGGCCCACACCTATAATCCCAGCAGCTTGGGAGGCTGAGACAGGAGGATAGCAAGGTCAAGGACAATCTCAGCACTTAGTGAGACCCTGTCTCAAAATAAAAAATAAGAAGGAATGTAACACTGCTGTAAAGTGCTCCTGGGTTCAGTCACTAGTACCACAAACTCAAGATCCTATTTCGCTCAACCCCACCCCAAAGTCCCTAGGAGAAGTCAGTCAAGCTTCTAGGGAGAGATGCTGGCTGCACAAGGGCAGCAAGGGCTGGACTTCCTCCTGGCCCAGTTCCCAGTTCGGGGTCTGATCTTGAGTAAACTATGCCAGCATCCTTTTTTTGCACTGAATTCCTTTCAATTCAAATATTTTGCATATAAAGCACAAATCTAGCAGATAATTACAGTGAGAGGAGAAAGAGAAAGTGATTCCTCCCACAAAAGCCTGGGGTTGTGGAAGACTGGGAGGCTCCAAGGGACCTTCCCTGTTAGCACCTGGCTGGGGAGGGGGCTATACTCACCTTGGCCCAGCTGAGGTTGCCACCAGGCAGGTGATAGTGGACCATGCCTTGGTGCTCATCTTCTAGGACACTGCCTGCACAAAGGAGAGACCATGTTCCCATGAGGTCCAGGCTGGAGAGCCAGGGAGGACAGCCTAGGTACACAGGACTGTGGTCTTCATCCTCAGGGTCAGGGATGTGGGTTTGGCAGGGGTCAGGCCCAGAGGTCCAGCAGAGGCCTGCCTCCCACCCCCAGTGGAGGCTGCCAGGGTCAGCACAAACCTGGGAAGGTCAGGTCCACAAATGCCTTGAACTCCTCCAGTGCCTCCTGCTGCCCTTCACTTCGGACTTTGGCCCGCAGGGAGTAGCCGCTGCCAAACTTGCTCTTGAGGTGCTGTGGGCTTCCCAGGCACTTGAACTGACCCTGCACCATGATGGCCAGCCGGGTGCACAAGGCCTCACACTCTTCCATGCTGAGGACAGGGAGTAGAGCTGAGACAGGGCTGGGGGAAGCGGAAGCCCACCCTAGGTGTAAAAGCCTTGTGTAGACAGAAGGTGTCAATGCCCATATCAGGATGTTCCTGATTCCCATGCTGAGTGTGGCCACATGCAGAACCTGGGGAATCTCTATGCCAGCTGGTCACAGGTGGTCTGGCTCCCTGGCCCCTCCCCAGCCACCCATTTCAGCTCCTCCATTGACCCACAGAGACCCAGGCTCTACCTGTGGGAGGTGATGACAATGGCCTTGCCAGACTCGCGGGCCCGGGCAACAGTGTCCCAGAGCAGGCGCCGAGCCACGGGGTCCATGCCAGTGGATGGCTCATCCAGGAAGATGACTGCAGGATCTCCAATGAGGGCGATGCCAGTGCTCAATTTGCGCTTGTTACCACCACTGGGAGTGGAGAGGTGCCAGGTAGGAGATAGGGCTGATATTTAGCACATGCCCAGGTCCCATGCCCAGGGACTGCAGAGTGCCCCAGGGGAGAGGAAGGAAGGAGGTGACTGGGCCAAGAAAACCCACTGCATAGAACTGGAAGTCTTAGAACTGTGCAGGGGGTGGGTCCACTACATGGAGTAGGAACATCTCTGTACTGAAGGGGACCTGACAGGGTGCCCAACATCGCTTGTTGGCTGGCCTTGTTTTTAAATGGCAGGAACCATCAGGGCAGTCCTCTCCCCTGGTGATACCTAGGTCATGCCACCAAATCCCTGCCTGATCCTTGAGCCACAGGCAGGAGCTGACTTGTGCAGTCCCCCCATCCTGGATCTAAAAGGAGATCCCCCCAGCTTCACTCTGGGCAGGGCCAGGGCTCATCTCCTCACAGGGCCTGGGTCTGGGCTCAGGTCGTACCTGTAGGTCCTGACCAGCTTATTGGCATGTGGCTCCAGGAGCAGGCCTCGCAGTGTGTTCTCCACGCAGGGGTCAATGAGGTGCTCAGGGATGCCTCGGAGCCGAGCATACATGACCAGCATCTCCCGGCCAGTCATGTGATCCAACAGGGCATCAAACTGGGGACAGTAGCCCATCCGCTGCCGCACCTGGGTTAGGACACAGCCCAGGGAAGAAGCAGGTCAGAGGGAAGCTGCTTCCTGTCAGAAGACCATACAAACCACCTGCCATGGTGCCTGCCTGCCCCAAGTCTGTCTCTGGGCTCTTCCAGTGAGTCTGTCCAGGGTGATCCAAAGATTTGGTGCCCAGGCCCTGGTGGCTGCACTCAGCTGAAGCTCACCGAGAAGTATCTCAGTGGGGATGCAGGAAGGACATGGCTGGCTTGGGGAGGTTCCCAGAGATGTTGGGAGGTTCCCAGAAATGAGCCAGCACATGGTCCAGCAGAGAGCCTGTTCCAGATTGGCAGCCACAGGGGCAGGCTAGTGCAAAAATGGCTTCATAAGAGCCATCACAGTGCAAGACCACATACTGACCACCGGCACGTTTGTGCATCAGATATTTAATGGCCTTTGACATGCTGGGGCCTTTCCTCTTCCTCCAGCAGTAGGTGCACACCGTCAACAGCTCTGCAGGGAGTTCAGTGGAGGGACATTACTCAGCAGGACAGCCCAGCAGCTGGTCTCTCAGGGCTTGGGCATGTGCCCCAGCAGCTGTTAAGGGCAAGCCTGCCCAGGTTCTTCTGATTCCAAGGACTGGATTTCTTTATCTTCACCCTTCTTGGAGTTCTAGAATCTGTTGTTAATTGGTCTGGGAAAATGCTTAGGTTATCTGTTTGGCTATTACTCTCTAGCCCCACCTGTGCTATCCTTTTGGAACTTGGATTAAATGTAAAGAGCATTGTTTTTCACCTTCCATTTCCAGATCATATATAGTTCTGTCTTCCCTGCAGAGGTCTCCAGCCATGACACTTCTGTTTTTCTCCTAGTACTGGGGTTAGAATCCAGGGATGCTGTAGCACTGGGCTACATGCCCAGTCCTTTTTATTTTTAATTCTGAGAATTTAAATTCTGAGACAAGGTCTGGCTAAGTTGCTAAGGCTGGCCTTGAGCCGTTAGTCCTCCTGTTTCAGCCTCCCCACTCACTGGGGTTACAGGTGTAACTGTGCCCAGCTTCGTTTACTTCTTTAAACACAACATTATTTTACACTCTGGAAACCCAGCAGCTGGGGTTCGCTCTTCCCATGGAGCCCTGTGTCTGTGGGTTCCAGTCGCCCATACCCTTCATTGCCTGTTGTGCACTGTTCGCAGACCTGGACACACTGTATGGGGACTCTCCTGGGACGAGGACAGGCCTCCCTCTGGAGGGGCCCTGTGACCCCTGTGCACTCTGACTCCTGCGGGCACTGCCGCCTGGAGCCCCCTGCTGCCAGCTCAGAAGAGCTGTGGTCCCTTCACAGGCACAGGCCCTTTGCCTTTCCTTTCCCTGCTCTGCTTGACACACAGCCATCTGCTGTGCTATCTCCTGAGGTCGGGGAGCATGAGAACTGCCCTGTCCATCCTCATCCTGTGAGCTTCAGTCCAATTAGGGGGAAACTGTTGTGGGCCCTGGGCCTTCACTTTTGTCCCTTCCCTTGAGGCATATTCCCTGGACACAGTGGGCTTTGGCAGAGGTGGCTCCGTTGGTGCAGTCTGCATTTCTTGGCTTATGGAATTTAGCCCCATCTCTCTTGCTCAGCTCTGGGACCATACCACCTTGTTCTCCTGTGTGCTGTGTCCACCCGGAGCCAGAAGCCAGCCATCCTTGCCTTCAGGGCACCACTTCTGCCTTGCGTACTCTACCTGGCAGGGTACCCACCTTCCCAATGTCAGAGCTGATGCTGTAGCTCTCAACGAAGGCATCCCCTGAGGTGATGGGCTCCTCCCCAGTCAACATCTTGAATGTCGTGGTTTTCCCGGCTCCGTTGAAGCCCAGCAGGCCAAAACACTCCCCTTTCTGGACAGTGAGGGAGATCCTGTCCACAGCCAGGAGGGGCACCTGCTGCTCATACACCTGCAGGGCACCCAGCAGAGGGCACTGGGTGAGCGGGACCCCAGCCTTTGTCCTCAGCCAGCTTCCATGACCTCAGCCCACGTGGTGGCCAGCAGAGGGCAGGGCCCACACACTACCTTGGAGAGCTCCCTGATTGTCAGAGGCGTGTGCAGCAGGATGTCCAGGCCAGGGGCCAGGACTCGGCTCCTCTCATCTGCCACATCCTGGTCCTCAGGAAGCACTGATGTCCGGTTGTGCAATTCTTCCTAGTCATTCAAGATAAAGATCACATGTGTGAACCCCAGCCCCGTGGGAGGAAGAGCAGGTGCTGAGGTTGATGTGGGACATGCAAGGGGACTAAGGACTCCAAGGTGTGTCACCCCAGTACAGGCCCCATGTGCACTCAGACCTTTATAAGAAGCAGTAGCCTTGGGCTGAGGTCAGCATCCAGGGAACAAACTCTGTAAGGGACTCACAGAATCATGAACTTCACTCTTCACTCAAGGATGTGAAGGTTGTTTTTTTGTTTGTTTGTTTGTTTGTTTTGAGATGGGTCTCATCAAGTTGCCCAGGCTGGCCTTGAATTCCTGAGCTCAAGTGATCCTCCTGTCTCAGCCTCCTGAGTAGCTGGGACAATAGATGAGGGTCACCGCATGCAGCCAGTAAGGCTCCACTGTAACACATGGAGATCACTCCTTTTTTAGAAGAGGCTTAGTATTTTAGAGAAGTCAGTTCACCCCAGGTAAACGTGTTTCCAATGTGATCTCAACAGGCTGTGTTTGATGTGTTTGTGTCAGGATGGAGACCTGAGCTGCTCAGCAGCTACTCACCAATGTCCACCTCTTCTGGAAGGCACAGATAAAGGTCCTCAGTCTCCACAGCAGGTTGGTCTCAATGAGGAAGAGCAGGGTGAGGTAGGCACACCCTGAGGCAGCCATAGAGGTCATGAACCTGCCAACCCCTGGGGCGCTCCAGGCGAAGAAGTTCTCCTGGTACTTAATATCTGTGAGGGGCAAGGAACCAGGCTGAGTCTGTGACCACAGCAGCCTCCTCCCCTCCTGGGTCCCAGCGCTGGCCCTGCACTCTCTCTACCAAGGCTCCATGTTCCTCTTCCTGAGTGTGTGTCTTGTGCTTGTCAATGCCACATAGAAGCCTCAGGCACTTCCTAGCCATGGGAATTTTGCCATGTAAGGTGTCCCTCGCACACCTGTGATGGGTGGATGCTGCCCTGCTGTGCCGCTCATCACTTGCGGCGACCTTGAGTTGGGGACTGTTCTGTGATGATGCCAACATCTCGACCCCTCTCGAGGTGCCCATGGTTTAGAGAAGGAATGGCACATGACCAACAGTCACAGGCCCTATGAGTGGCACTCAGCAGGAGCAAAGCAAGGAGGTAGGCCTGCCTTAGAGTGTGCAGGGTTCTGCAGAGCTGACCACCCAGTTGCCTGCTGCTATACAATAAGATGGTTTCAGGTACAGAAAGGGCCCTGCAAAGATAGGTCCAAGTGCTAACGCTCTGAACCTGTTAATGTGACCTTGTTTAGAAGTGGGTCTTTGAAGGTATAATTAATTAGGGGTCTTAAGGTGAGATACTGGATTTAGGGTGGGCCCTGCATCCAACAACAACTGTCTTTATAACAGGCAGGAGTTTGAGATCCAGAGATAAAGGGGAGGAAGCCAAGTACAGACAGATGCAGAAATGGAGTGCCTGGAGCCCTGAGAGCTTAGGGGCAGAAGACATCCTTCCCTGAGCCTCAGGAAGGAACACATCCCACCCCACTATGCCTTGACTTAGACCTCTGGCCTCCAGACTCCTGAGAGGATACAGGTCTGTCGTGAAGCTATGGTTCTATTCTAGAGGCCACAGGACACAAAGACAGGTACAAAGAACAGAAACACCAGGCAGGCCCAGAACTTGTGGGCAGTAGCAGGGCTGGAATGGATGTGGGGATGATCTGGGCAAGCATCTGGCTGCTCAGAACACAGAGGAGTCCTGCTGCAGTTTGGGTGTGGTCTGAGTGTTTCCCAAAGATTCATGTGTGCAAATATGATCTCTACTCTGAAGCAATAAGAGGGTGGGAGCTTAATCCAGCCATGGTGCTCACAGGTGGGGCCTTGGGAAGTGACTGGGATTAGTGACAATGCTGGTGGTTTTGGAAGGAGAGAGAGAGAGAGAGAAAGAGAGACCAGAAGACACACAGGCATTTGTGATGCCTGGAGTTGCCTTAGGACTCTGCCAGCAAGGAGGCCATCACCAGATGTGGGTCCTTGCCTTGGATGGCCCTGAGCTGAAACAAGCCTCTTGACTTCTGTGCCTTCTGTGGTGCTGTGTTACAACAACAGGAAATGGGCCAATGAAGCCCCTTGTCTGGGGGAGTGCTGGGAACACTCTGGCTGCCCTGGATGGAGGCCAAGAGGGTGGGGCTGCCCCAAGGGAGGCGTCTGGACACGCACTGTATTTCTTGCAGTAGTGGGCGGCGACCTCTGAGGAGGTGCAGTACCGCTGTGTCTCATAGTTCTCATAGAAACTGCTGACAGCCATCCCCAGACAGTGGTTGGGCAGCACCAGGAACACGTGATCCAGGGTTCTGGAAAGTTCTTCGAGCTTCACTGCTACAGTGAGGAGATATAGACCAGTTAGCACTGGAGGATATACCATAGCTGCCTGAAGATAGACCCAGGAAGGGAAAGGCAGGTCCCAGGTTGCAGGACCTTGCAGGTGCTGGGACATCCCCTGGGGGTGCTGCAGAACCCTCCCACCACTGTGGCTGTCAGGGCAGCTCCATGGGGGCCAGAAGGTGCAGGTGGTTCTCATGCCCCCACCTGGGATGCGCATGATGGTGACCACTAGGAAGGTGGCGATGCCTGACAGAATGTTGAAGATGGTCAGCCTGGTGTAGGCAGTGGATGCGCCCGAGAAGAAGAAGCTCATGAGGTACATAAAGGGGATGATGGCCCAGCCATAGAGCATAAGCAGCAGCAGCACGTCAGCCATGTGTCCATCCCGTGTGAAGGCGCGAACATCGAAGGCTCTGAACACCACCTGCAGTGGCATGGATGAGGCTGCTCAGCACAGGCCAGCAGGTGGCTCCCAGAGGTGGGGAAGGGGACTGAAGGAAGCATCTGATGGTCCTTAGGTCCCGCCAAATCACGCAGCCCTCAGTCCTTGGCCCCTCAACAGCTCTTAGCCCTGGCAACCTCTTTGACCAGCAGTTTCCTCTTCTCCCCTTGACTGATGGAGCTGGAACCAGGAGAGCTAGCTCCAGGCCCTGCCTACCCAAGAGTGGGCAAGGGCTGGGAAAACAGAGAGGCAACAGGTAGGTACCATCCCTGTCCTCCTGGAGTCAGGGCTGGAGCCACAAGCTGGACTTTTCCACTGATTCTTGTTCTACAACAGACGTCCCCAGTGAGCTCCCTGTGGTCTGCAGGGCAGGGTCTGGCATTGTCCAGTACTTACCAACAGCAGCAGAGCAGGGACCAAGAAGGAGATGAGGTCCCATAGCAGAGCAGAGAACCAGAAAGTAGCCACATGGACACCGCTCACAAACTGGACATGCTTGGCCTGGACGGCCCTCTCACTGACTGCCAGGATGGAAAAGGTGCTGGCCAGGAATGCCATGGCAAATAGCAAATTGAGGGCAATGTCGAACCCCTTTCGGCCCCTGGGGAGGACAGAGCACAGCATGTATAGATAGCAGGAAAGATCAGGCTGTTGGTCATCACCATCCAAGCCTGCAGTGCAGGAGTCAAACCACTCAGAGCAGTCAGGAGTACCATAGAGCTGAGGGGGTCAGCAGCAGGAAAATCCACCACCCCTGCCAAGGACAACTCCTCCTCTGTTTATCCTGGCCTAGCAGAGGGCAGGCTCCAGGTCCTTCCCCAAGTTCCTGTGTTACCTGTCCTTGTACCATCTGTCACTGTCTCCTGGGAACCCTATGCACTGCACACGGTGTTCTGCCCCAGGTCTGCTGTTGGGTCCTGAATCACTGCCATAGCCAAATAACCCTGCTCCCAGTGCACTCTGGGTTCTAGATCTGGTCTACGTCTTCCAGAAACAGGCTCTGACAGCATTACTCTGTTGTTTAAAAATCTTCTGAACATCTCAATGAATGGGTCTGGGACAGAATAAGCATTGATGCCAGAATCTGGAGGAAATCTTAAAAACACTTGAACAAAAGCATACAGACACAAAGGATCATGTACTGTGTGACTACACTCCCAAGAAATGTCCCAAAAGTGCAACTTCATAAAGACAAAGCAGATGGGCAATTGCCAGGGGCTGGATTGGGGAGAATGGCAAGCACCTGCTATTGAGTACAGTTTTCTTTTTTGGTACAAAGGATTGAATCCAGGTTATCAGGTATGCTAGATAAGTGCTCCACTACTGAGCTACATCCCAGCCCTTTTTTAAAATTTTGAGACAGGGTCCTGCCAGGTTTCCCAGGCTACCTTACTTGTGATTATCCTGCCCCAGCCTCCCAAGTTGCTGAGATTACAGGCATGCACCACCATGCCTGACAAAGCATGAAAAGATTTTTTTTTCTTGTTTTTGGTACTAGGGATTGAACTCAGGGCCTCATGCACATGCCAGGCAATAGTTCTTCCTTAAGCCATATTCCCAGTCCTGGTTGTTTTTTTTTCTTAAGGGAAAGATGCTCAATAAGATTATGTTGAGGCTGGGGATGTGGCTTACTGGTAGAGTGCTTACCTGGCATGTGCATGAGGCCCTGGGTTCAATCCCCAGCACCTCACACAAAAAGTTACATTGAGGTGAAGGTGTGTACCTCTGTGAATACACAATGGTCCAGCTGTGCTCTATAAGTGCACTGTACCTGAGTGGGTGGTATTCCTAAAGCTGTTAGAACAACACCCTCCTGCCTGGTCCATAGTCACTATAATAAGCCTGAACCCCTCAGCCTGACCTTTGGGCCTCCCAGTCTGGAGTTCAACAGACAGGCAGAAACCATTTCCCAGTGCTTCCTGCACAACCCTACTGTTACCAGAAGGCAGAGCTGCCCAATGAGCACTCAGAAGTCATGTGTGTGAGATGGGTGTCCTGGGCTGATTTTTCAGCTATGGGAAAGGTGAATGTAAAAGGGTACAGAGTCAGGGTCCCCCAGCCAAGAAGCAGCAACAGTGTCTGCAGGGCAGAAACTCAACTCTGTCTATCAGCAATTTCTGGCAGAGCCCCAGGTAGCTGGTCCTGGAGAGGGGCTCCCAGCTCCAGGCTCCAGACAGGGTAGGGTGGGCCCCACATACTCATTGAACTGGTCCTTGGCAGCCTGTAGGGCACTCCGGGGCTGGGGGTAGTTGGAGACCACGATGGAGGCCCGAGGGCCACACAGCAGCTTGAATAGAAGGTTGTCCACGATGGCCAGGGCGGTGGCTGGGGAGTGGTAGGCCTGGTTGTTGAATAAGGCGGTGACCACTGTCCGCTCTCCCACATCTCTGAAGGATGTTGCCACCAGGCACCGCTCATTAAAGCCGCCTCCTTCTACTGATGCCCTGAAAACCAGGAACTCCTCCAGGTCACCTGGGGAGCAGTGGCAGTGTTGGGAGATGCAGGGCAGGGACAGGTGGGGGTGCCCACTTGCCATCTCTGTGCTGCTCATCAGGGACCCAACCATGGGCACAACTGAGCTGGGACCTTGGGATGCAGGGGCTCCTCCCTGCCAGCTGTGCTCTCTGCAGTGCCACTCACTCCCCGCTGCCGACACAAGTCAACCTTCTTCTAAGGAGAATCTTGTTTCTGCCAAGATTTTGTCATAACTCCATCTACTGAACCTCAGTACTGCTGATCAGGATAAAGGAGGGAGTGATAAGATGACAAAGCCTTCCAGCACATTCTGCTTAACCAGAGCATGGTTGTTTTAAGCCCAGGGTGACATCCAGCTGTGGATGCTAGAAACTCAAAATGGTTTTGCATTTTATTTGTAATGGTCCTGAAAAACAGCTGCAGAAAATGATCACCTGACCTGGTCTACTCTACTGAGGTGCCTATGTCTCAGGTGTCCAGGGAACTAGTTCTGCCTCATGGCCATGCTCTCCTGCCCACCAGACATCTGCGATGTCTAAAGGCATTCCTGATTGTCATGACGAGATAGGGGACAATGGCAGGGATACTGCTAAACATCCACGGGGACCATTCACGCCGGATGTTGGCACTGCAGCAGTCAGAAGCCGTACCACTCAGCTCTATTCCCCACCATTCTTACCCAGCACCTCGCGGGGCTCCTGCCTCTCGGCCTGCAGCACGTCTCTCAAGAGCTCTGACAGCTGCTGATCCAGTCGAGAGGTGCCAGGAGCTGAGAAGGGCACCACAGTTCTGCCATATTCGCTCAAGCTCAGCTTCAGGCTGGGATCATCGAAGACCTCCGAGGAATAGTTGATGGCCAAGAGGGCTAGGGTGACGCAGGTCAAGGGGACCAGGACCTGGGCTGCCACCATCTTCCACTCCCGCCAGCTGTATGTGGCCTTTTTCAGGAACATGGCCCAGAACTGCTGGCAGTGGAGGGCAAGCTACGGCAGAGGGGGTTCAGGTGATGTAGGCTCTACCTAGGAGGTGAAATCTGATCCAACCAGCCCTTGGTAGCACTGCCCTGATGTGGCACCTGCCTGGGGGCTTTCAGGCAACCACAGCAGGAGTGACCTAGACACCCTGGGGCCACAGGGTGTATCGGAGGGCACAGGCGAATGTGTCCTTGCAGTTCTGCACATGGGCTCTCAGGATCCCAGCACAGCCAGGAGGCGTGGAAGACACTATTTCATCATAGAGCACTGGGGACAGGCCTGGGGTCCTTGCCTTCCCTGGTCCCTTCTGAAGGCACTGGACAGGAGGCCCTGGTATAGCTCATGTGTAAGCAGACTACCTCACCTCCTTCACCTGCCCTTATTCCCTCCTAAGTGCAAAGAGCCTCAGGGGCTTGGAGTCAGGCTATCCAGGCCTAGGCCCTAGCAATCCATGTGGGAACCTTTCAACTTTTGCTTGGTCCTTGGTTTCCTGTCTATAAATTGAGAACAGGGTTGCCCTTCACCTCACCAGGTTGCTGTAAAGCCAGGCCAACAGTGCTGGCTCGGCACAGGGCACTGTTGATATTATAAGCAAACACTCCATCTTATCTGTGAGTGCCCAAGTTAGAATATTAAGACACTTAATTGCTCTATTAAAATTCTCCCAGTTGCCCTTCTCCCTGCCAAGCCATGATCTGCCCTCTGTCCTCCACTGGCCTTCATGAAGCCTATACCTGCCATTGAGGACCCTCCTGTGACAAGGACCGTAATAAGGGGCCCAGGGGACTCCCAACTGTCCCATGATGGCTACTACATGGACCCAGCCCAGTGCGCTCACCCCAGTGTTGAGCTTGACCACAGTGTGCTCCTCCTCAATGAGGGTGCCGATGCCGTCAGTTGGGTCCATCACTCCGCACAGATTGCTGTCCACAGCCCAGTCGCTCGCCCGCCTCTCGTGCTGGTACTGCAGGGCAGGGAGCTGGATGGCTTGGATGTCCATGCTGGTGTCTACCAACTTGCCAACCCTGTGCCAGAACACATAGGCCTGGGTCACAATACAGTTTTAGGGTAGGGGAGAAAAACTTCTGTTCTACCGAGGGAAGGGCCAAGGAAAGAGGACCACCGTCAGAAGCTTTGAAGCAAAACAATCTCAGATTCATTCGCTTGTTCATTGACTCATTCATCTATCATTTCATATCTCTCGAATTCATTCACTGATTCATCAAGAAATATCTCCAGACCATCATCTGTATGCAGCCAAAGAAGATCCTTCCCATAGGCCCCTGTTCCCCAGCCTCACTGCCCAGAATTAGCATTTATTTATTTAATTAGTATGTATGTATGTATGTATTGATTGATTGACTGCAGTACTGGGGATTGAACCCAGGGGCATTCTACCACTAAGATATGCCTATAGCCCTTAAAAAATTTATTTTTGATACAGAGTGTCTCTAAGTTGCCCAGACTGGCCTTGAACTTGAGATTATCCTGCCCCAGCCTTCTGATCTGCTGGGATTACAAGTGTGTGCCATTGTGACTGCCCAGAATTAGCATCCATAACCAGGGTTTTCAAGAGGATAGAAGGGGCTTGGGGAGTGACAGTGGCCCTGGGAAGGGCTCATCACGAAGCTAGCACTGGACTGTGGCAAGGCAGTCAGGGGCACTCACTGCCCAGGGAGACTGGGAGATGGACAACTGTGCTCTAGGAGGGCCAACCCCAGGTCAGGCTGTGCTGGGCCACACTGGAGCCTGAGAGCCCCCTTATCCCAGCTGTCGGGATCCTTGGTATCAGTGCTTTCATGGGTGCCATCCCCATTAGGGCCTGGCTAGGAATGTTCTTTGGTCAGTCTCCCCATGAGCCTGGATGTTTCTCAGGGGCAGTGCCTCACCTGGGCCTTGCTCAGCTGGGTACAGATGGAAGGATGAATGGGCACAGGAATGAATGAATGAATGGACAAGCTGAAGAAGTTGGTGGATGTTTGTTTCAGTGCTTCTGACAGCAGTGCTCTCAATAAGGATTGATGCTCATCAGGATGGAGGAACAAGACATGACCACACACTCCTAGGTATGTGCCCATGAGGAGTAAGAACATGAACTCATGTATAACATGTTCACAGCCACATGATTCCTAAAGTCAGAGGCTGACGCCATCTACGTGTCCCTCAATGGACACATAGGCCAACAACACCTGGTCTGTCCGTGTGATGGAGCATTGTGCACCAAAAAAGGGAGTGACATTCTGACATGGGCCACAGCATGGATGGACCTTGAAGCAATGTGCTAATTGAAAGATGAGACAAAAAACACCACATGCTATATGGTGAAATTTATATAAAATGCCCATAACAGGCAAATCCAGAAAGAAAGAAAACAGAACTGTATTCCAGGGGTGGGGGTGGGGGAGCAACTGCTAATAGATATGGATTTTTGCAGGGTAGAGGATGACAAAAACGTTTTCAAGTTGATTATAGTGACGACTGCAAAACTGTGAATACAGTAAGAGCCCTGTATCACCACACCAAAAATGTGAACTTTTAAAATATTATGTAAATTATATTTTCATAAAGCTGTTGTTATTTAAAAACAAATCCTTGAGGGCTAGGATTGTAGCCCGGTAGAGTGCTCACCTAGCACGCGTGAGGCACTGAATTCGATCTTCAGCACCACATAAAAAAATAAGTAAAATAAAGATATTGTGTCCATCTACAACTAGAAAAAACTGTTTAAAAAAACTGTTTAAAAAGTAAATAAAATAAAGGTATTGTGTTCACCTACAACTATATATATATATATATATATATATATATATATATATATATATTTTAAAAACACACACACACACAAATCCCCTCTAGCAGCTCCCTGGATCAGAAAATACAACTGAAACTACTGAGCACAAGAACACAAGAGGTACTTTTTTTTTTTTTTTTTTTTTTTTTTTTTTGGTACTAGGGATTGAACCCAGGGGTGCTTAACCACCAAGCCACATTCCCAGCCTGTTTATTATTATTATTTTTATTTTTAGATGGGGGTCTCATTAAGTTGCTTAGAGCCTTGCTACATTGCTGAGGCTAGCTTTGAACTTGTGATCCTCCTGCCCAGCCTGCCAAGCTGCTGGGATTACAGGTGTGTGCCACTTTGCCTGGTAAGAGGTGCTTTCTGGTATGGCCTAAGCAAGCTTATTTCTGCCATCTTCTGGAAACCTTTACATAGACCTGCCCACCTGCTTTCCTTCTCCCAAGCTGGCCCTAAGGACTTGGACTCAGTTTTTTTGGAAAGGCCTCTCCCCTACATCAATTGTCCCAGGTCCATTTGTCTTTTAAGACTCCCATCACAGATTCAAGTTAGAGACACCTGTGGCCACCTCTCTAGTATTCCCTTTGAATAGAAACCTTCACATCTACCTCCTGAGCTGCTAGGTGGGCTGCCTGCCTCTCTGGCTACCAGAGGGTCTTGGGCATGCTGGGCAGAGCCTCTGCTTGTTTTTCTCCTGAGACTAGGGGCTCAGAGAGACCACTGTCAAGGATGGGGGTCTGGAACTGAGGCATGAGGACATGGCGGGAGACCAAGTGGGGTCATGTGTTGAACATGAGCAAGGAGACAGAGTGAATTGGGCAAGAAAGGAAAGCCAAGACAAGTGGCTGCTGAGAGCAACCCAGTCCCTGACCGCCAGGTGCAGCCAGTGCTAGCCTGGTCTGTGGTTTCTTTATCCACCAAGACTCGTGGAGAGTTGCTCTGCGGTGTTGGACTCAGTTTAGCGAGCAACCTCTTCCTTCCTACCCCCTCACCTGTCCTGATTCAGAGGTCTGCTCCTGGGTACACAAGTTCCTGAATTTCCTCTCCCCACTGGTTTCCCTGAGGCCATGCTGGCCTTTGCGGCTGCCCCCACCTCCCAGTAGAGATGTTCACAGAGCATTCCTCATGTGACCTCCATTTATGGTCACTTATTCTGTTGCCTCTTCTAGGCCATGGGCTCCTCAAGGAGGAAAATGGACTCATGGGTTTTTATTTTGAGTTTTTAGCACTATATTTGCCATACAAGCATTTAAGAAAAGTCTGACAAGTTGGGCATAGGAATGTACACCTATAATCCCAGTTATTTGGGAGGCTGAGGCAGGAGTCTGAGGTCAGCTTGGGCAATTTAGCAAAATCTTGTCAATCAAATGTCTGATAAATGTCAGTGGTTTGCTGCTCACCCACAGTTCTGAGGGTCTGAAAGCTAAACCTCAGGTGCTTGGTGCAGACCCAGGCATCCTGGAGGACCTGAGCCAGAAGACCTCAGCAGCTACACACTTCCCTGATGCCTGACCCCGTGTGGGTGGTCTCCTGGGAGGGACCCTGGAGAAGTTCAAACAGTTCTTCCAGAATCAGCCGCAGCTTCTCTGCTTCAGTTGACATCAGTCACATCTCAACTCAGGGGCCAGGCTCCAGAGCAGAATCAAACTGACTGCCTTATGTAGGTCCCTTAACCAACTCACTCCCAATGCCAGACCTGGAGCATGTGCTTACTGACCGAAGGAAGACTTCCTCCATGGTGGTGACAGAGGCCCCGAAGCTGGCGATGCCCAATTCCTTCTGCTTATTTTCCAGTTTAGTGAAAAGACTTTCAAACCTGAAAAAAGACCCAGAGTGATGAGGTGCTCCTCAGAGACTTCCTAGGCAATTCTTTCCTAAATAATTGCCTCCAGGTAGGATGGGGGAGGGGCAAGAAGGCACCCAGCTGAGGCAATTCTTAAAGTCACCAGGCCTAGAAATATTTCACCTCCTACTGACAGGAACCTCAGAGAGGTGAATCAGTTGGCTATGTGCTTCTTCATCATTCAACACAAAAATATTGGGGGAAAAATTCTACTCAAAGATGCAGCTGTAGGGCTGGGGTGCAGCTCAGTGGAAGAGCGTGTGTGAGACCTGCCTGAGAGCCCAGGTTCCATCCCCAGCACTGCAAGGAAAAACAAAAGTGCTGCGTCAGTGACATATAATGCACTCCCCTGTCCTGCTTCTGGGGAAGCAAAGTCAACTCCTTTCCAAAAGGAAATTGGTAATAACTACCCCACTACTGGGGTGGGGGGATGTGGGACAATCACTGGAGATCTAGACAAGTGTTTTCTAGGAGGATGATTCTTAGTATATATTTTGGAGAACAACATGAGTGCATGATGATGAAGCACATGTTAGATTATCAACCCAAGTCGTGGAGCATCATGCAGCTATAAAAGCAAATGATCCGTGTGTAGCTCAGTGATGGAATGCTTGCTTAGCATGTGTGAGGCCTTGGGTTCTGTCCCCAGCACAGCGCCAAACAACTCACATTACTTAATCAAACATATAGCATGATGAATTGTACTTTTAAGATATAGACCCTGGGCTGGAGATGTGGCTCAGTGATAGAGTGCTTGCCTCACAAGCATGAAACCCTGGGTTTAAGTCCCCAAACTATACCCAAAAGATATAAATCCTGCCCAGGTCACAAGATGGTGGCAGGGGCCCTGGGGAGGGTGAGGCAGCAAAATGGCAGTTGACCAGAATGTGTAGCCACATCCCTTCGAGTCCACTCTGGGCAGACATTATTCAGAGAAGTCTTTCACTCGGTGTGGGTGGCTTGGCTGATGTCCTCAGACCTGTGATATCTGCTGATGCAAGGAGTCCCCTGGACTCCTGTCCACTCCTCTGCTGACCACCCCACCCACCTGTGTCGAGCCTTCCTACAGGCCTCCCCCCTGCCTCTGTGGGACCCTTTGGCCTGGGAGTCAATCCAGCTGCAGAAGAAAACCCTCTCTTGCTAGTGTTATCCCAGGGGGCTAAGAGAAAGGGGACCTTGTGCAGCCTTGAAACCTGAGTGCAGTCCCCCAGGAATAATTCCAAGCCTTTTTGTTATCAAGGTTCTCTGTTGAACTACATCCCGTTGCCCCCTGCATTTTCTCTGCCAAACTGTACTGATGAAGGGAATCATTTACTTTCAAAGTTAACAGAGACATCTATGACTAAGTGTACAATAAAATCTATGTCCCAATGATAAAAAAATCTACCTACCTATTCACCCACCCACCCATTCCAGTACCAAGTGTGAATGAAAAGCTTGGCTTTCTCCCCTGGTCCTGGTAGATCTGCCCTTGGTGACAGTGCCATGGCGGGTGCCCAGGCCTCACATTTTGAGACAGAGAAGTTATGTACATTTATAACTTGTGTGCAAATGCACATTCTCAGCACCATGATGTATCTGAGCACTGCTGCTGCTGCACATGTTGAACCCTGTGTTAGGAAGGAGCCACGGACTGGGTATGAACAGGAGGCAGGCACCAAGCACCACTTTCTCCTCAGCTCCACCCAGGAGGCCTGGCACCTGACATGCAGGTGAGCAGGTTCCATGTGGGCTGACTGTCCGCAGGCCAGGGGCTGGGAGATGCCCATTGGTTGAGCCAGAGAGGGACGGTGGGTAATTCTGAGCATGGAGCTTTCTGGCTCATGGGCTCCCTTCTTAGCTCTGCACCAGTGCACGTCCCCTGAGAGGCAAACCATGTGCCCATATTTCTAGGACGCATACCTGTGCGTGCTCTCCTTGGGAAGTATAAAGGACAGCTCAGCCCCAACACTGCTTTCCAGTGTGGCATTGGGGACATGGTGGTGCACCAGCTGGGAGATGCCTTCAGGGTTGCAGTGTGGCTCCTTTACCAGCGTCATGTGATAGCCAGCACCTGAAACACATGAGCTGAGTGTGAGAACTGTGACTGTCTCCATATTGCACTTCCTGCCCTTGCTGTGGACTCTTAGGTTCATGCCAGGCAGGCTCAAGGGAAAGAGGCTGGAGAGCTAGAGCAGAAAGAGGCAACTGAGCCAGAACATCATCTCAGGGCTCCCCTGTATGTCCTGGGACCTTGCTTCCCACATCCTTGCTGGGGAGAGTCACTGGGGGACCTGGGATGTTGAATGCAGCCAGGAGTACCTGCTGGAAGCTAGAACCTTTCTGAGGATACAGCTACAAGACAGAGACCCACCTGAGCAGGAGCCTGGGTGTCGAGGGCATCTGCCCTGTGGGATTTGTTTAGAACACTACTGCAAAACTCACAGGAGAAGACTCGGCAGGAGCAGCAGCAGGGGCTGCAAGCTATACTGCCACATTCAGATCCTTACTCAACTCTTGCCCAGTGTTGCTTGGCAGAAAATGGCACTTCCTTGTCCCTCCTCAGACATAAGGACACTGGGCCCAAGAAGAGCAATGGCTCAGCTGACTAGGAACCAGGCAGGAAGTAGCAGACGAAACTATCAAACCAGAAATGGCTCCTGGTCCCCCAAGACCGGCCCCACTTCTTGAAAAGGAAACTCCTGTATTTTTGCTGGGTATGCTGCCACCCAGCGTGAAAGTGTCCACTCCAGCTTCCCTTCCAGCCTGTATTAGCCACAGAGGGCTGTGTGCTGGCCATGGGTAGGCCAGTAGAAGTGAGTTGTGTCCTGGTGTGGGGGAGGCTGGACATGGCACCATCTTGAACCAGAAGGGAGGCCACAATCATCCCGCAAAGTAAGGGGCCTGGATCCTGACCCAAACCTTCACCCACTGGTCTGGGCTGTGCTACAAGCCATGCCCTTTCTGGGAACTGTAATGTCAGACAACATGCTACTTCCCCTTGGCGTCCTGCTTGTAGATGAACTGGAGCCCAACCACTCAAGGCAATCTGCCCCACTCTCCTCCTTCATTCTCGTAGGCCCCTCCACTGGGGTGACCAAAGTTGAGAGGAGGCCTCTCTCTGCTGGTCTTAGGGCCTCTCCCAAAGGCTAACAGTGGGCAGTGCCTCTTGGCACAGCAGACAGTGGTGCTGACCTCTATCCTGGGATTGAGACTGGGCACCCCCACCACTGCTCACCATATTTCTGTTTGAGGAACAGTGATGACCCACAGCACTGCAGCTCCCCCTTGGCCATGATGGCAATGCGGTCCCCCAGCAGGTCAGCCTCATCCATGAAATGGGTGGTCAGGAGGATGGTGCGGTCACTCTTCTGCTGCTGAAGAAGGTCCCAGATGGCCCTCCTGGAGATGGCGTCCATGCCTGAGGTGGGCTCGTCTAGCATCAGCACCTGGGGGCACAGGCACAACCTGGTGACAATGGGAGACCTGTGTGGTGGGACCCCACAGCTGGAGTCCAGGGATTTGCAGAGCTGGTTCAAGTTCTAGAACCTGAGGCCTCTAGGCCTGCTGCCCTGTGTCTGTCCACTGTGTTGGTGGAAGCTGGGCCCCAATGCCCTGTACCTTGGAGCCTGCTATGAGGGCGATGCCGATGGACAGCTTGCGTTTCATGCCTCCACTCAGGAACTTGCACAGTGAGTTGCGTTTGTCCTCCAGATTGAGGATGTGCAGCATCTGCTTGACTTCCTCAGGGCACTTCTGCTGAGACAGGCCTTTCAACTGAAATGGCAGGGGACAAGAGATGAGACCTGTGCTGCAGAAGTTACCCAATCCCATCTGGAAAGCTCCCTGGCAGAGATACTTCTCCTGCAGTTGCAGCACTCTGCTTGCCCACTGCCTTACTCTGGTTTTTACAGAGCACCTCCTAGAAACAGACTTTGCCTTGCCAGGAGGCTAGTGACACACAGACAGGCTTGGAACCCACACATCAGCAGCAGAGCACCTAGCACCCTCATGTCCCCATCACCCATAGGCTCACCTGCGCATAGAAGTAGAGATGTTCCACCACCGTCAGGTTGTCAAAAAGAATGTCGTGCTGGGGGCACAGGCCCAAACTCTTCCGGATTTGAACCATGTCTTGGGAAATTTCATACCCACTAATATATGCACGTCCACTAGTAGGGGGAAAGAGTCCTGGGGCCAACCAAAGACCCCCAAATTCCGCATGAAAATGTTGCTCATCAGCCTGAGACATGATGACCCCCTCCACCTTGGTCACCTGGTTCCTTCCATTTTACAAAGGACCCTGCCCTTGTGAAAGAAATGCCTGCCCCCCACCATGTTGTGCTGAATCTGTTTGGGTAAGAGACAGAAGAGGGATGGGGCCGTGGCCCTGCCATAGGGTGCTGCAGCTACTCAGGGATGACAAACATGCACTTGCATGCACAAGTACAGGTAGTGCCAAGTCCTTCACACTCACGAGGCCCCACAGATCCCGCCTGTGCCTCTGATAGACATCTGGGTGCTTAGAGAGGACAAAGGGCTGGTCTTTCAGGACGAGCTTGGGATAATATGATATAGGGTGTGCCTGCTCCTGTGTGACTTGAGAAGCCTTGTTCTCACTGTTCCCACAGGGCTTGGGCATTCATGGACAGGCTGAGAGGAGGTCAGGGGTGACTAGACAGCTCCCCCCACATCCCTCTGGGCTGATTCCCTGTGGCTGGGGAAGGACTGAAGGCTGCATGAGGGGGTGAGGGCTGGTGTGGAGCAGTGCTGTGGGGAGGGCCTGCTGGTTGCAGGTGGCATGCAGCTGCCCCTCACCTGTGAGCATGGAAAGGGTGGTGGTCTTCCCTGCACCGTTGTGGCCCAGCAGGACGGTGATCTGCCCCTCATACAAGTTCAGGTTCAGGTCCCTGACAGCTGTCTTGTCCTTATTCCCCACTTGGAACACCTGGGATTTGCAGAGGGCTGCTCTGGACTTCCTGTGGTCCTCGGGGCCTCCCTCTCCCTCTGGAATGCAGTCCCATGTCCCAGGACACCAAGGTCGACACCGTAGTATGCCAAGGAAAAAAGTCCCCTGCCCCACCCCCACATGTCCTCCTTGGTGTCTCTTCTCCGTAAGGAGATCCAGAGGCCATGGAAGCCTGGACAGCAAAGCAGAGCACACTCTGGGGTACTGGCAAGAGGCAGAGCCAGGACTATATGTTTGCTGAAGTCACCCTGAGTTTGACCCCATGCTGGGTACTGAATCCAATAGGGAGGGTGGTCTGTGACCTGGAGAGTGCATCAGGAGCAGCTGAAGGACCCCTGCCCTCCTCCCCTTCTGTTGTCCAGCCTGCCCCCACCTTCCCCTTCTGTCCACACAGGGAGGTGGCACCTTGGACAGATGCTTGATCTTGATCCCTGCCACCAAGTCCTCGGGCTCAGCTTCAAAGTACTCGGTTCTGAGAGCTTTCTCAGGGTCACTGTCTTCTTCTTCTTTCCCAACAACTGTCCTCGGGTTCCCACACCAGTAGGAGGGCTAGGATGGAGGCAGATGGTGTGAGAGTTGTTCATGTCCATTCCTTTTGTTTCTGACCAATAAAGCAATCTCCACAACACACTAAACACACACAGCAACGTGACCTAAGTCTTAATCTTCCAAGGAACACAGTGCGCGACAGCTCCTGACTTGGAGTTCCTCGGCGAGGCTGTGAGCCTCTGCTTGGGGACAGAGTGGTAATTCACAGGCTTATTGTGAGTGCCAACTCAGAAGGGAGAAAGGAAAAGGAACTTGCCTGCTCTGAGGTCAACATGAAGAGAGGCTGTGGAAGGCTCCAGCTCAGCCAGCCCACAGGGATTGCTTCCCAGCCGAGCTACCCACAAGTTCACACCACACAACCAACAGCAAGAGGGCCCCAGAAGCATCTTCCCCCTCACTTAGCTCTGAGCAGGGGCTCGGCATAGAGCCATAGCCCTCGCGTGCTCTGCTCTAGGGCAGCCTCACGCCAGCAAGACAGTGTGCAGGGTGTGCTTAGGGGTGGTGACTTGTCAGCTGTCAGCTTTGTTTCCAGTGCATTCCCAGGAATGCCACAACCCACTGGTGCTAAGGGACATGCTTTTCATACACTTAGTGTGACTCTGAAATCAAACTGCATCTAAGGGTACAATGCCAGAGTTCAAGGGGCAACATTTCTCTTCCATGGTAATAGGCAAGTAACTGTTGCTTCTGCCCACCCATTGTTACCTTAGAGCTGATGAGATTCAGGAGTAGATGCTTGATGAATGTTGGACCAAAAAATGAAAAAAGAAGTGCCCTAACTAACCATCCCTGGGAGCTGGTTAAGTGCCTGGTGGTAGATTCACACACTGGGGTTCCTGTATGATCACTACAGGTGAACTCAGAGAGAGGTATATGCTCAAGCATCAAGTATTTGTAAATAAATAAAACTTATAAATATGTGTACATAAAGATGTAAAGCTGGCAGACTTGGTGGCGCATGCCAGTAATCCCAGCGGCTCAGGAGGCTGAAGCAGGAGGATTGCAAGTTCTAACTAGCCTCAGCAATTTAGCAAGACCATGTCTCTAAATAAAATATAAACCAGGCTGGGGATGTGACTCAGTGGTTAAGCACCTCTGGGTTCAATCTCTGGTACCAAAACCAAAACAAAACAAAACAAAAAAACTAAAGTTCTAAAGCTATGTGTATAAGCAAAGCAGACACACAAATATATGTGTTTAAGATATCAAGATGTGAGGCCAAGCATGTGTGAGGCAGTGGGTTTGATCCTGGCACCACATAAAAAACAAAATAAAAGTATTGTGTCCATATACAACTAAAAAAAATATCAAAAAAGAAGATACCAAGGTGTGCTGTTAGGTTAAAAAAAAGCAAGTTTTAAGCACTTTAAAATATGATCATGAAGCAAATGTAGCTACATCTCATGTTCCTCTGCATGTGCCATGTGACAATATGGGCACAGGACAAGCCTGAAGAGCCACAGCCAGAGAGTCGCAGTGGGAAGTGCTATACATGCCTCAGTTGAACATTTGTACAAAAAGCTGTATATTTTGTGGGCAGAAAACCTAAAACAGTATCTTTTTATGATCCAGGAAGCAAGTGGAGGTGAGTGGAAGCTGGTGGGCTGCTGGACTGGTCCCCTCAGCTCTGACCCTGGGTGGGAGCAGGCCTTCTTCTCTCTCTGAACCAACCCCAAAGGCCCTCACAACCCACAGCTCACCACATGCAGGGCAGGTTCTCTATTCCATGGCAGTGACATCTACACCCCCTAACAGAAGTAGCCCCTCAAAGGGCAGGGGCATCAGTACTCACCATGAGGAAGAAGTACCAGGGCTGGGGCACACCGAACTGGCCAGGGAAGACAGCCTCCACATACCAGGTCACCAGGCCATAGAGCACAGAGTCCAGTAGCAGCATCCCCAGCACTTGCCCAAAGCAGAAGTCATCATCCACATTGACAGGACTCAGGAGGTCTCGCCACTGGATGCCCGTGCCTGGAGGGCAAACCAGGAAAATGGCCCCAAAGTGGGCAAGCTGGGAGAGCCCAGGACTCCAGGGACCCTGATGGCTTCATTGTGTATGCTTCCCTTCCCAGCTTCATAACAAATCTGATAACTTCCCTCAAATCTTTAAGGCAACTGCAGCAAGTTACAGCCCCCGAAGTAAGCTCATAAACAAACCAGATGGGCTTGTGCTTAACTTGGTGACGTGTAAAAATGCATGTACGGACTTGGCGCAGTGGTGCACGCCTGTAATCCCAGTGGCTCCAGAGGCTGAGGCAGGAGGATTGTGAGTTCAAAGCCAGCCTCAGCAACTTAGCAAGGCCCTAAGCAACTCAGTGAGACCCTGTCTCTAAATAAAATACAAAAAATGGGCTGGAGATGTGGCTCAGTGGTCAAGTGCCTCTGAGTTCAATCCCTGGTATCCCTGCCCCCGAAAAAAACATGCATGTGCGTGCGCGCGCGCACACACACACACACACACACACACACACACACACACACAATTTGGGGAAGATCAGTGTGAACCAAGATGCATTTTAGTCTGTGAAACTCAGAGACCTGCTGAGTGTGGTGGTGTAGGCCTATAATCCCAGCAGCTTGGGAGGCTGAGGCAGGAGGATCACAAATTCAAAGTCAGCAACTCAGCAAGGCTCTAAGCAACTTAGTAAGAGCCTATATCAAAATGAAAGAAATTTAAAAAGGACTGAGGCTGGCTGGGGTGGCTCATGCCTATAATCCCAGAAGCTCAGGAGGCTGAGGCAGGAGGATCATGAGTTTAAAGCCAGCCTCAGCAAAATCAATGTGTTAAGCAACTCAGTGAGACCTTGTCTCTAAATAAAATACAAAATAGGGCTAGGGATGTGGCTCAGTGACTAAGCACTCCTGGGTTCAATTCCTAATACCCAAACACACACGCACACACACACACACACACACACACACAGAAAAAAAAAAAAAAAAAAAACCTGAGAGGCAGAGGCCTCAGGCATATATGAAGCTCTATTTAGTGGAGCTCACAATTAGCCCACATCACAGTCTACACATACTGGGGACCTGAGTCTCTAGCCATCTCCTCTTGGCCCACAGGCCCCAGACTGATATGATTACTCTCTAGCCCTGATGAATGCTCACTTTCAAATAGCTAGAGACTTAGCAGCTTTAAGAAATATTTAGTATAGGGCTGGGGATGTGGCTCAAGCGGTAGTGTGCTCGCCTGGCATGCGCGGGGCGCTGGGTTCGATTCTCAGCACCACATAAAAATAAAATAAAGATGTTCTGTCCACTGAAAACTAAAAAGTAAATATTAAAAAATTCTCTCTCTCTCAAAAAAAAAAGAAAAAAATATTTAGTATAGAACTTATAGAGGTGCCATATAGTTAGATTCCTCTTTAGAATGGCCATTTACTTAGTTGTTTATTTTGCATTAGCAGGAATTGAACCTAAGACCTTGCTTGGCAGCATTGAGCTACATCTCTGGCCTTTTTAAAATTTTAATTTTTACACAGGTTCTCACTAAGTTGCCCAGGCTGGTCTCAAACTTGGAATCCTCCTGTCTTCCCAGTAACTGGGATCATATGCATGCACCACCAATCCTGCCAGAAATGGTCTCTTAAAAAGTATTTTAGGGGGCGCTGGGGCTGTGACTCAGTGGTAGAGCACTTGCCTAGCATATGCAAGGCCCTGGGTTCTATCCTCAGCACCACATAAAAATAAATAAATAAAATAAAGGTATTGTGTCCAACTACAACTAAAAAATAAATATTAAAAAAAAAGTATTTGAGGGGACCGGGGTTGTGGCTCAGTGATAGAGTGCTTGCCTAGCATGAATGAGGCACTGGGTTCGATCTCTGGCACCACATAAAAATAAACAAATAAAATAAAAGGTATTGCATCCATCTACAACTAAAAAAATATATATTAAAAAAAAAGTATTTGAGGGGCTGGGCTTGTGGCTCAGTGGTAAAGCGCTTGCCTAACACATGTGAGGTTCTTGAACTTCCCAGCTTCCAGAACAGTGGGAAGGTTCTTTTCTTTACAAATTACCCAGTCTCATGAATTCTGTGATAGAAGCACAAATAGACCAAGATGTGTGGCTGGAAGAAATGAGAACATTTGGCTTAAAAGAGAACATCTAGATGGGACAGGGCCGAGACTATCTTACATGAGCCACAGCAGCCTACAGAAGGTAGAAGATGCTTCTTTCCTTCCAGCAGAGCCAGAACAACATGCAGAAGCCCCAGGAAGGACAGACAAGCTAGGCACCTGCCATGAAGTCCTAGCTCTGGTGTGCTGCTCTGCCTGCTTGTTGCTTGGGGTTAGTCTAACTGCTGGGCGTACTTCTGGAGAGATGCTTCCTGCTAGATTAGCTTGTGATGAGGTTGATACTCACCTTTGGCTTCGAATTTTCCTATGAGCTGGGCTCCCATTGCCATGGCAACATTGGATAGGAGACAGGAAAAGAGCTTCTGGGTCAGTGTCATCCAGTTGTACCGAGGAGCCACAAAGAAGTAGGGGATATAGGTGAAGAAGTAGAGGAAACCGCCAACGGCTGCTGCCATGTTAGCTGTGGGGAGAGGAGAGCACAGGGAGTACAAACCTGCCAGGGTGCTGTGCCTGCAGCAGGGTTCATGGCCACCCTAGGCCCCAACCAAGTCCCAGTGCTGGGGCTGTGGCCAGGGATCGCAGCCTCTTCCCTTCTCCTGGGACAGCACCCTGCCTGGGATCTCTAGCCCCCTCCTGCGGGCCTCCCACCCAATCACCTCCTGGACATGCCACATCGTGTTAATTACTAGTATTGAACTTGGATTCCCACTCGAGGCCCTTCTTGCCCTGTCTGACCAATCTCTCCCATTTGTTCATTCATTCATCTATCAAATGCCACCTGGTAGGTGCCACATGCTCTTCCAGGCACCAGGGAGAAGGCTGCACCCAAAATGGAGTGAACTCCCACCCCTCCCAAGCCTTGATTCTAGGGCACGTGGAATGGGAAGAGAAGTGCAAAGTGCTGGACAGGGACGTGGCCGGAAGAGTAGCGAGGTCCTAGCTAGAAGAGGGAGGCTTTGAGAGGAACACACAAGTGAGCAAGGAACAGCACAGGCAAGTGGCCAGGTGGCAGGGGTGCCGGGGGACAGCATGGTACTGCTCTACCCTGTGGCACTCAGGCTCTGTGATCTTTAGATCTTCACATCCTTAAAAATTAAGAGTATGAGGGCTGGGGCTGGGGCTCAGTGGCAGAGCGCTTGCCTCACACATGTGAGGCACTGGGTTCAATCCTCAGCACCACATAAAAATAAATGAAATAAAGGTATATGTCCAACTACAACTGAAAAATAAATATTAAAAAGATTAGAAGTAGCAGTAGTAGTATTTGTGGTACTAGGGATTAAACCCAGGGGCACTTTTCCATTAAGCCACATCCCCAGACCTTGTTTTTTTGGGTTTTTATTGAGGCCAGATCTCCCTGCGGTGCTCAGGACCTCACGAGTTGCTAAGGCTAGTCTTGAACTCAAGATCCTCCTGCCTCAGCCTCCTGAGCTGCTGGGATTACAGCTGTGGCCACTGCACTCAGCACCTCCTTAAAAATTATTTAAGACACCAAAGGCTTTTCTTTTCTTTTTAAATATTTTTCTTTAGTTGTAGATGGACACAATGACTTTATTTTATTTATTTATTTATACGTGGTGCTGAGGATCCAACCCAGGGCTTTACATGTGCCAGGAGAGTGTTCTACTACTAAACCACAACCCCAGTCCAAGGCTTTTTTCTTTTTATAGGTTATTTATATTTAGTCTATGATAAATTAATGTAAGAACATTTAAAGCTTTTAAAAATTTGACAATAGGGGCTGGGGTTGTGGCTCAGTGGTAGACTGCTTGCCTAGCATGTGTAAGGCCCTGGGTTTGATCCTCAGCACCACATAAATATAAATAAAATAAAGGTATTGTGTCCAACTACAATTAAAAAATAATTTTTTAAAAAATTTGACAATAATGAACTCATGATATATTGTAGTTTATAATGAAACACAACCATGTTTCCCACAATTGGTGAATAGCATTGTTTTACATTTGTGTAACCTCCGAAATATCTGATTTCACAGATGGATGCTCTTGGTTGCCTCTGTGTCCACTGTTTTTTTTTCAAAGTGCAGATGAGCAGCCGGAAGAGCAAGGGGTGTTATATTAGTTAAGACACTTGCAGATATTCTTATTTGAGTCAACACCACACGTGCATTCAAACTAACAAACAGGGAGGGGAGGGGAGGGGAGGGGGGATACTAGAGGATAGGAAAGGCAGCAGAATACAACAGACACTAGTATGGCAATATGTAAATCAATGGATGTGTAACCGATGTGATTCTGCAATCTGTATACGGGGTAAAAATGGGAGTTCATAACCCACTTGAATCAAAGTGTGAAATATGATATATCAAGAACTATGTAATGTTTTGAACAACCAACAATAAAAATTTTAAAAAATAAAATAAAAAAATAAAACAAACAAACAAACTAACAAACAAACATGCTATACTCTCTTGCACCAAAGGGCACTGGCTTTCCTTGCACTTTGAATGGATTTTTACTCCTGCATGATTTTGTGACATGATGCGTGTCTGTAAAATATTGCATCAGTTTGTAAAATATTGCTCATTGGATTATGCAGACCTTCCAAATACTGACACATTTTATTATATAATTTTGAAACAGATTGCATTCATTAATATCACCAATCTCATTAAAAACTCTTCAAGTACTGGGAAACTGTCAAGCTTGTGGTGTTAGAATTGACTTTGCAAAATTCTACATTTTGCTTGAAATCTTGACATCAGACATCAGATCTGTAAAAAATATTCCTTAAAAGAGATGGGCTCAGATTTGAAAAAAAATGCGTATCAAATACCTACATGTGAATAGCTATAATCTGACAGCCACTCCTTCAAGCAAAAATGAAAAAAGTGGCTAGTTCAGCTGACAACTCAAACAGCTATACACGTTGCTCCTGCAGTTAATCCTACTCAGTATGCAGTACTAGTACTTTATGTGTACATCTTGTTCTGTCATTAGAATACTAAAAAAGTATATTCAGGAGTAAAATAAAATTAATAATTTTATAAAATTAATAATTTTAATAATTTTATCTGTTCCACCAAGGAGGTTCTTGAGTGAAACTGGCATTCTTGTTTGTCTGTCTGCTGAGAGTGTGTGAAGAACACAATGACTAGCATGGTCTGGCGGCACTGTGGAGATTCAAGCCTGGGGCCCAGTGGTTTTACCCATGTTGCCTTTGCACTATCTCAACCAAGGACAAGGTAGTGGAAAAGGCATCTGTGTAAATAAGTACTGACCACTATTCAGGCTCCTTGGGGATCCCTAGGTAACCACCTTTTGAGAGTTCCTTACCTAGGTAGAACCAAAAGCCCCAGGAATGGAGTGAGACAGGGACTGTATGAATGGGAATGGAGCAGCAGAGAGTCAGCTTGTGGCCACCTGGGCGGATCCAGCCAGCCACAGCAGGGGCTTCAGCTCTTCTGCTTGACACAGTCTTGGGGACATTTTGAGCAGAAGTGACACAAGCTCTGATGTGCATCGCCCACTTGGCTACACAGGTCTAGGGTGGAAGCAGAGGGACCACTTTGAGGTTGTTACCACCATAAACAGGTCAGGGAGGACAGGGCTGGGGCCCCAGTGTGCAGTGAGGAAGCTGTGGTGTGACTGGAGCTCAGACAACTCGAGAAGAGGGAGCAGGTGGGATTCCCTGGTGACTGGATGCAGAGCAGGATGTAGGAAAATGGAGGAGTTGAGGGTGATGCCCAGGCTCCAGGCTGAGTGGCCAGAAGGATGAGTTGATACTTACAGAGAAGAGGGAGGAGTTTCTGAGGACAAGGGCAGGAGCTCAGTTTTGAACACATTCAGGCCAAGATGCACATATTGAGCACCAATAGGAAGGAAGCTTCTGGGTTTGAGTCTGAATTTCAGGAGAGAAGCCTAAGCTGGAGATCTAAATTGGAGGATTATGAGTATCCTCAAAACTGTCCATGGGAAATGGTGTGAGCAGAACAGGGAAACTTCAAAATGAGAATGCCATAGACTTCGGGAGTAGATGAACAAATGTTTCCGTTGAAAAAATAAATTTTCCCCAAGAACAAGTAGATATGTACAAGAATCAACTGGATAGTTCATAAAAAGATAAATATAGTCATGGAATAAGTCTCAACAGATGAGAGACCCTGTAGACACACACAGAAGGTGTTAAGCACTCAGAAGCGAATGCTCAGGAATTCAGATGGAACTCAGATTTCAGAGACATGCAGACAGTTTGAGAGGCCTGGAGAAAGGTCTAGAGGAAGAGAATGACAGAGATGACGAAGCCAATGTGACAAGATGTTAACTGGGAAAGACAAGTCCTCATATGGAAAACACTCGAAAGTAAAGGGAAACCACACCTCAACTGCTGGTGGACATTTGCCAACACCACGGGTATCGGTAGTAATGAAGCTATGTCACAGTGCAAGAGAAACTCTGGCCATGGAGAATTCAATATGCAGCTAAAATATCATTGAGAAGTGAGGTGAAAGAACACCACCTCCAGTCATCCAGAAACAATTAGCCACTCACTGATCCCCGTAGAGAGGACAACTCAGGCACAAAAGTCAACCTACAACAACTCGAAAGGAGCAGAGCACACACACACAAAAGTAGTGCACACATGAAACGTGCACATGAATGCAGATTAGCTACCAACTGCTTATGTTCTTAGATGATGAAGCAGATGGTGACGATGAAGCAGATGGCACACTAGAAGGCTCAGGGACTGTCAGTGACACTCTGTGTGGCACAGGTGAGGCAAACCTGGGAGGAGTCTAGACACACTGACTTAACTTTCTGGAAATTTCAAAGGTAAGTATTTAAGTTCAACACTCAGGATAATCACCCAAAGAAGAAAAATGCAATTGACATTTTCAAACCATCAGAGGTGGAAGAACTAGAGGGAATTCTCGGTCCAACAGAAGGTGGCAAAGAGAAAGGATGAATAGAACATGCAGAATTCAAACAGCAGAAATAACCTCAAATGTAGCTACAATCGTAAGGTGGGTGGACAGATTAGCCCTCACTTTTGGCTCCTATTAGCATCCAACTTGGCATCCACACTTGCCTTCTGCCAATTCCTCTTCACCCTAAGCCTCTCTCTTTCTGCCTGGCCCATACCAGGTACTCAGTCTCCTGTCCTTTTTCCAGCTCCTTCCTGGGGGAAGTCCCATGAAGCTCTGTGGTGGGGCCTTTGTTGAGTTCCTACAAGTCTGTCCCTCAGTGATCTAACCCATTAAGTCCAGCCTAGCCTTTCAGGTATTCCCCCTTTTGGCAGCTCAGTCTCTGGGTCATCCTGATTCAATGCCTTTGACCCCTTAACTTTGCATAAATCTGCTCAGTTTCCCAAGAGTTGGATCACCCCCATAGTCCTCTGCCTTCGGGGGAGAAAAAGGACTCACCTTTGCTGAAGAAGGTGCTGACCATGAAGCTAAAGGAGATGGAGGAGATGGCAAAACACAGCAGGAAGGCCAGCACCAGGGAGGGGTCACTGCTTGAGAGCACTGCCACGTCCTTCTTCACCTGCAGGACAGGCCGCCAGGGCCAGATGTGAGTTGGTTAAGAAAGGCAGAGGTAGACTAGGAGAGGCCTAAAGGTCCCAGCCAGAGAGACACTACAAAGGACAGGAGGGGCCCTCACCTCAGCAAGCAGGAAGTCCTGCTGCCACCCTGCCCCTGGGGACAGGGTGAGGTCAGTGGCTAAGAGACACTATCCTCCCAGAGTAGATGCCAGCGCAAGAGCAGGGGTCTTTACACCCTCTTCTCATCAGGGCTCCCATCAAATCAGTCTCACCTTGACGCAGAAGAGCAGGGTCATGAAGGAGACCACGATGAGGAGGAAGAGGAAGAACATGAGGAACCAAGCGCTCCAGTGCAGCCAGCTGCTCAGCCCCATCATGCGCATGTACTCCTGCGGGGAGAAGGGTGGTTAGGCCTGCAGCCTACTGTCCACCATCTGAACTCTGGCATGTCTGTACACAGTGCAGTGTCCACCCACCAAGAGAGAGGACCAGGACACCTGTGCTGGGGACCAGAGGCAGGAACCATGCAGCACACCCTGGCATGGATAGTAGAAGGCCCAAGTCTGACAATCATGTCCCCCCTTACTCAACAGCTCTCAGCCATGTACAAGTCCTGTCACTCCTGCTTTTCTCCAGTCTTATACGCTACTGCATCTGGAAGGCCATTCCTGGTCCTTGACTGGGATCAACTGTCCCTTTCTCCCAATGTCACAGCCTGTCCCGCTGCTCTCTGCTTGGCAACAACCTGGCTTTTCCTTATGGTAGAGCTCTGTCCCTATCTTCCCGACTGGGCCCGCTGAGCTCCATCTTATTGGGATACCCCTTCTCTACCTGTGTCTCTGTGGGGGCCTGATGTGAGCCTCTAACATGTGATGACTAAGCTGGTAACCCTCAAGTGTCCTGCAGGGTGCCCCATGTCCTGTGGAGCAATCCAAACTCCTGCAATGCATTCTTTTCTTGCATGGAACCTGCTCCCTAAAAGCTGTTGGTGTGGAAGCTAGTGCTGGTCCAGCATCAGCTCAGTCAGACACCTCCCCAGGTTGGCAGAAAGACTTTACAAGCTAATGACCACACTGACCACACTAACGTTAGCACCCTGGGCTGTGAAATATCACCTCATATCAGACTGGCTCTGCACACATGCTAGAAGCTGCAGGTACCTATTCCTTGACCTCCTGAAGCTCTGAAAGTGGGGAACAAGAACTTCCCTGGGGAAGGGCCCCTCTTTTTAGAAGAGAAGATGGCACCATGATCGGCATTGGCTCTGACTATACCTTCCTTCCTCACCTGCCTTTCAGCTATCAAGAGGAGCTGTGAGGAAGTCCAGATCCTCCACAGGCCAGACTGCCCAGGAATTCTGGTCATCCAAAGTGTGCTGGGGCCACGTGTGGCTCTTTCAACTAAAGTCAACTAAAATTGAGTAGTTAAAAATTGAGTTTATTTCAAGTATTTCATGGCAAATGTAGTGGTCAGCAGATAAAGGACATGTCCATCATGGTGGATGGCTCCACTGCACAGCACTGGATGGGATGGTGGGGCCAGGACTGATTAAGTGACTTACATGCCAGGCATGAGGCCAGGCTGCTGATTTTCCAACCCCTTTTTCATAAAATTACATATATATATATATATATATTTTAGTTGTCAATGGACTGTATTTTATTCATTTTTATATGTGGTGGTAAGAATCGAACCCATTGCCTCACACATGCTTGGCAAGTGCTGTACACTGAGCCCCAGCCCCAGCCCTGCAGCCTTTTCTTATGCACAATTTTAAACCTTCAGAAAAATCAATGCCCTTGACTCAATAATCAGGCAACACTTTTCTTATTTGTTTTATCTACAAATGTGTGTGTAGGTTCATTCTCTCTGAATCATTTTGTAGTTCACTTCCAGCTACCTCCACTGTTTTCATTAAAGTTATTTAAGGCACCCAAGCAGGTCACTGCCCCCCTCAGGGGTTTCCCAGCCTCTCATCTGCGGCAATTTAAAACCTCAACAACCACAGGCTTGGAACCCTTGAGAACATTCTAAGTGTCTTCCACCAGCACTAAGGACACTCCCAGGGGAGGAACTGCATGCAGAAAGTCCTGGGTGATGGCAGTGTCAGTGTATGACTCTAGAAGTGACTGTTCCTGTGGCTCTTCCTCATCAAGTCAGGTTGTGACATCACAGTGACACTTCCTATTATTGTGACTAACTACCAGTGACTGTGCCTGTCTGTGATCTACATGCAATGATGATCATCTTCCTGTTTGGCTCTATATTTAAGCATTTTCTCTCCCTGTTGATTCAATCCCTAGAGCTGCACCATCCAGCACAGAATGAAAATTTTATAGTAGCTACATTAAAAACATCAAGAGAGATGAGTAATGTTAATTTCAATTGTGTTCTACTTAATCCGATATATTCAAAGTATTGTCTTTGAAAAACAAGCAATATAAAAATTACTAGTGAGACAGCTTATAATCCTTTCTGTGCTGTCTTCAAATCTGGTGGCCCTTTATACTTCTGGTGCATCTCAGTTGTGACCAGGAGCACTGTGAGTGTTTGAAGTCCTCTGGGGCTTGAGGCTCCAGACCTGGACAATACAGCTCCAGGACCACCTTCATGAGTGGTGTTCTGCATGTAAACTACCATGCTTCACAGGAGTTTTCTTTCTTTCCAGGAATGGGGTTTACACACAGGGCCTTGCACATCTAGGCAAGTGCTCTACCACTGAACTACATCCCAGCACTTTTCATTTCTTATTGTGAGACAGGGTCTCACTAAGTTGCTGAGGCTAGCCTGAACTTGTGATCATCCAGCCTCAGTTTCCTGAGTTGCTAGGATTATTGGCCTTCACCACCATGCCCTGTTTTCAGAGGGTTTTAAGAATCCAGGCATACCAGCTTGATTTTAAAGAAGCCAAGACAGGCTGGAGCCACAGAGGGCATCCACCCTCTGCCCGGACTCTTGTGTTTCCAGCCATGGGAAGGAGCCCTGGCAAAGAGCAGGGTAGCCTCAAAATAAGGCCAGTTCTTTTGAAGGAGCCCTGGACATAACACATGGTGGCCCGGGCCCCAGGATCAGTGTGGAAGGATGTTAAAAAGCCATGCACAGAATTACCTTTAGTCTTCTCTCTTTCTCCTGCACCACAGCCCGGATGATGGAGAGGGAGGTGTAGGTGAAGCTCAACATGAGCAGCAGGGGCAGCTGGTACTGGATGGCAACAAGGAAGGGGTCTGAGATAAATGGTGGAAACGGGAATCTCTTGGCGACCACAGTGAGTTTCTGGAACAGCTGATGCGCAGAGGCATTGGCGTGGTAGTACATGATGGCCTTGTCCACGGCGTGTTGCACTGCCAAGAAGCCTTCGCGGATGTATCCTGAGCACAGAAGCCAAAGACAACATGTCACAGGTTGCCTGCTCGGGAGCTGTGAGCTCAGAAGAAGGCCCTGGGGCCTCCAGAAGAAGGGGTGCAGGAGGCAACAGAGCAACTTAACAACTTCTTGCTTGGGGCCCTGGTGGCGCCTGGCGCTGTACAGTGGCCCCATGAAAGAAGGCAGAGAATGAGCCCATGATGATAGCAGCGGAGAGAAGAAGGTCACTGTCACTTCCACATCTTAATTAAAGTGACACACTTAAAGATTACAAATATGATCACATTTTCAAATCACCCTGGATATGAACCTGCCTGGAGAGCCTGAATACCCCAATAGGGTCTGATGCGATTCTAAACAAATAAAAGTTAGGTAAAACATACACTAGGAAAGAACATACCAAGAATTAGGCTAGGGACAACAAGAAAGTCTGAAGATCAGGAAAGTGTTTCCCTCATCTGGTGAGAGGACTGGTTCTGAATGTCACCCCAGCAGCCAGCCTGTCAGCCAAGAGAAAGAAGCTGACAGCCCTGGCACCCAACCATGACTCTAGGTGTCAAGTGGCTGAGACCTTTCATTGCAGAGGTAGAATCAGAAGAGATGGGTTTGGTGACTTGGAAGGCTGAGACTAGAGGATTCTAAGCTCGAGGCCAGCCTCAGCAACTTAGCGAGGCTCTGTCTCAAAATAAAATAAAAAGAGCTGAGTGTGTGGCTTTGGAAGGGTGGTTCTATCCCCAATACCACATAACAAAAGACAAAAGCAACATGCCACTGTGCCCCCAACTCAGCGTTACCAAGTGGACATGTCCTTCTGTCTCTTCCAGATTTTACAGTGCACTAGTAGTACAATTCAATTAATCACTGAAGGTGTGCCAAGGATAGTACTGTGTCGGGGTTTAATTCTCATGTTCACAAAAAAACTTCAGGGCAGTGGTGATATCCCCATTAGAAAGATGGAAACACTGAAGCCCTCGGAGTCACACCACTGGGGACAGGTAGAGCTGAGCGTGGGGCCTTGGGCACTTTGGCTTCAGTTGTGTTTTTCATGACATCTCACCATCTCCCCCACAAATCCCTGTCTGCTACTTGCTCACATGCTGTTCTCCATGGAGATGGCAACAAACAGCTATGTTCTCATTGCCATAACCTGTATGACCTATAAGCTCAATATTCTGAGGCATGAAGCCATTTCCTGTATGACCATTCATTTTTCTGTTGTGGAAATGTTCATGACCTTAGACAAAGCTACGGTGAACATCTTGGTGTGTATTTTTTCTCCTTTCAAATTATTCTGAGAGCTGAATTCTCATCAGGGGTATTAGTGGGTCTGAGGCATGGACATCTATCTGGGGTGGAAACAGCTAGAATTGTGTGCCATGTACCACGGTCACACCCTTGCCAACTATCTCTTGGGGCTTTTGTGTTATTCTAAATAATCTGTATGAGTCATTTTCTAAAAGAGGACATCTGACCTTTGTCATCAGCCAGAGAGGTTTCTCCCAGTCTCCTATTTGCTTTTAGAATCAGTATTAGGACTTTTTCTTTGTTGGTAAACTTTGAGTTTGTACAGACTGAAATTTGTCCGTCCTTGCCTCAGATATACTTTTCTATTGCTTCCAGGCTTGGAATTTATCCCTGACAAGAAGGAAGAGATTAAGGCATTCCAGCCCAGCATCTGGGACTCAGCAGCCAGCATCACTAGTGCTGAGAGTGAGTCTCTCCTGAGTCTCAGGTTTGGTAACATGGCTAGGGCCCCATTCTGGGGCCCCTCACACTCTACACTTTGCCTTGCCCACCTTAGTTTCTCTTCTGGATTTAAAATCTTGCCCTGGGCATTAACCTCTGGATGGGCCCTGACACCAGCAACAGGGATCTCTAAATGCTGCTGCCCACGGGAAGATCCTGGCTGCCTGGTGCTGTGGATGACTGTGTTCTTCAGAACCCTTGGATCTCCACCCAGAACAGGTAGTCAGTCTTGGCCTGAGGGCTACATCTAATCCTGGGTCCTGGGTCTCAGCCACTCCTTGGTTCCAGAATATGGCCATGTTCAGTGGAGGCAAACATTCTCAGCTGCCGGCCAAAGCCACATGGTACAGACCACAACATGCACTGGGCGGGAGTCCGAGCAGCTTGGATCCAGCTTTTATACAAGTCACAGATTCAATGAAGCCATGGTCTGGAGACCTCCAAAAGCCTACAGTCTGCAGAGAAGGCCAGGAAGGGAAGGGACCTGTAAAACCAAGCCTTACAGAGCCAATTCAAACTGCAGTTTCTTAAAAACTGAGACATAAATGCTTCATTCAAGGGCACAGATCTTTTGGGATACGGGAGAGAGCCCTGGCTCTTTCCACAGCTTATTTCAGCCTTTCAGAAGCCAGTTTTACTGGGTATTTATTTTCTCCTCTTACAAACAAGAAGATTAACATTCCTTAGAAGTATTTCTGCAGAGAGATGAGAGGTAGGTTTACCCCCACGTAACTGTCATTACAGTTAGCAGCTCAGGGTTGATAACGTAGCCCCTAAAAGTGCTTCTTACCAGGTTCCCCACCATCAGGGAATGCAGGTTCCCTTGGTCCTGGGTTTGGGAAAAGTGGAAAAAGGGAAGTGGTGTGCCAGCCCTCTGTCTTTTTCAGGAAGAAGTTGCCAGTTTGGGTCCACATGTAATTCCTTCGTGTGTAGCTGAAGCGTAGGTGATATTTCACCTGCAGAAACAAAGAGAACACCAACCGTTCTGCAGAGATAGGAACAGAAACCTTAGGCCAATGAGGGTGAGTTCCTGAGCCTCTTACCACCAGGGCTGGCACCACCAAGAACTCACCATGCCCTGCCGTGAAAATGCCCCAGTGGCTAGGATGTCAGAGGCTTGAAGGAGAGAGTAGTCCAGCTCAGCAGGGGCAAGGAACCCTGCAGGGCATCTCCAGAGTGTTCATAGTCACTCCTCTCTTTCCCGCTAGCAACATGACTGCCATGTTGGACAGACATATCATTGATGGCCACCAACGTGGGATCATTGGAGGGCCACCAACATTGTGCAAGATGCTTCCCAGTCTTAATGACTTAAGGAAAGCAAACAGCTTCCTTTTTTTCCCCCCAAATAATACTTAACAGCTGCTACTTTCCCACCTACCCTGAATGCCTCTGTCCAACAGCCCTGGAGACCAGTAATGCATTTTATAAAATGGGAGAGCGAGAGGGGCCTGAAGCAATGGCCAATGGGTGGGTAGACTTTCTAAACGGTTTTGTGGTGATAGGATTAAAAGTCAGTGGGGAGTGGGTGGTGGCACTTGACTCAGAGTCTCATGTTTACTCCCAGGAAGATAAGCAGGCCATTCTAGGTGGAGTAGTGGCGAGGGAGCACTGGGGCCTGGGGCCTCACCGCCAGCGGCAGGGGCTCCTTGCTGTGGTTGGAGGCCAGCTGGAACACCACGGCAGCCAGTACATTGGAGGAGTGGTTGTCGTACCGAACGTAGTCCTCGAAGTCCTTCTCAGAGGGAAAGCCACGCACTGTGGACAGAGCAAGGAGCCCCTCGTTGCCCAATCGTCCCCTCTATCCCAGAAACCCAGGAGTGTCAGGCCATTGCAGATAAGAGATGGCAAACTGACAAAGCTCTAGGGCTCTACAAACCTTCCTTGAGACTCTGGTAGCTTTGTCTTGGCACAGAGACAGGCCACCGTAGATGGGCAGAACCTTTAGTCACTGGGCCCTGGGAGGTAGGCTCTCCTGCCATGGTTTTGAGGCAGGACTGGTCACTGAGGTGGCAGCAAAGCCAAGTCTCAAAAAACTGTCACAACCCTGGGCTGGGTCTGTAGTGAAGGGCAGCTTCTTTCTCCCATAACCACCGTGGCCCTAACAATTTTAGTGGAACTTTCTGTTTCTGAAATGATCTCTCCATCATCCCAACACTCGACAGAAGCCGCTTCCTGTAGTCATTTGGTGGGAGCCAAGGAGCAGCCCCTAGCCAACCTCACCAGGCCACATGCCAGCAGGAGCACATGCCAGCGAGAGCAGGGGAAGGACAAAAGTCCCACTCCCAAGGGAAAGACCTCAAAAAAGGTGCCAGCACCGTTTCCTGGTGTTTCCCTCAATGGGCTCTCCAGTGACCTTTGCAGCTGTTCCCCAAAACCACATGCCAGAAAAGGTTGTGCACAGACTCAAACTGCACTCTGCCCTCTGGCAAGAGGGCTTTGCTGGGCTGAATCCACCCAAGCCCCTGCTACTACACCAGGTGTGGCTGCAAGGCTCTGGGTTCTGAGCCCTGCTGTATAATGAGAAATGGGTGCAGGGGAGCCAAGAGTTCAACGGGTGACACAGCCAATGAGAGGAGATGCTGAGCCACTCAGGCTGGGGCTCCTAACAGGGCTCTCTCCCAGGTGCTGGGGCTGAATCCATGGCTTGAGGTGACACATCGCAGGAATGCCTGGTGACTCCCGTGGTCTCACCTCTCATGTTGATCACTAGGGACTTTCTCACAGTCTCAGTGATGGTCTTGGCAGCCTCAGAGTGGGAAGGGATGTAGGCGAGCTCCCAGGTGTCCCCTGGCGGAGGGAAGGTGAAAAACAGGGGCAGCTCCTGGATGGACTGACCAGGGTAGACCGTAGCATTGGGCACATTTTCTGACTGGATCTTCAAACGAAGCCAAATCAGGATCCCAGAAAACAGTAAGGGCAGAAAGAGTTCCAGGACTGTCACTAGAACCTTCCGCTTCTAGAAGAGAAAGGACCACTGTGTTGATGACATGTGCTCCTCCCTGGAGGGCACCCTCGGATCCCTGCATCAGCTGAATGTTGGGGGCCACTCTTCCTCCTGGACCCACCTGCAAGGTGTAGTTCTTCCACAGCAGGAGGGCCAGCTGCTGCAGCACCGCCATCCTCTCGCCACAGGGACGCCCAGCACTAGCCACCAACCAAAGACGAAATGCTTGGTGCACAATGGAAACAAATCATGGGTGTCTGGGGAGACCCACAAACCCTCCACCTCCATGTCTCCTACCTTCTTTTGTGCTGCTTTTAACCCCAAACACACCCACAGACAGAGGTGCAAGGCCTAGCCACCTTGACCTTGCTGTGTATCTAAGAGCCTGTGCTCTCCTGAGACCAGCCTGTTCCCTAACAGCACATGCTCTGTGTTCACTGCCACCATGCGTGCTAGCCATTTTCTTATCAACACTACTAAGGTGGTCTTGTGACTGACCCATCATGTCCCACCCTCTGTCTAGGACACCTGTGAAAACCTATAAAACTGTATAGGAAACCTAAAAATTGCTCAGTTTAAGTTTTTACATATGTCTCATATAAGGGGTGATGGAACATGAGCATTAATGTTCCATTGTCCTCTCTTGTCTTGAATCCAACAGGTTTTTTGTAAGTATTAGAATCTGAGCCTCATGACACAAGACCATCCATTTTGTCTGTACCACTTGTAAAAACAAAAAAATGCACACAAGGAAATCCATCCCATGTTACATAGGAATACAGTGTTCAAACCCAGCACATACAACTGTGGAAAAAGTCCACCCAAAGATTATCAAACACAAGTGAAAGCTAGGGTGTAGCTGAGTGTTAGAGCTCCTGCTCAGCATGCATGAGGCCCTGGACTCCATCTGGTACCACAACCAAAGCAAAACTTCACCAGTGAGCAGAAACAAGAGCAGAGATTTATAGACACCCCTCAGTTTAGATCAATTAATTTCACTGAATTTCAAATACAAGAAACAGAGGCTAAGCCCAAAGTCCATTAGACGTGAACCTGTTGGTGAAGTAGGTGGTCTGACTTAGCCCAGGTAACGGCATGACACCCTTGTCAGAACTTCTTTCCTAAAGCTGAGGGCATTGAGGTGTGCAGACCCAGCCAGGCGGCGGGGGCGGGGGAGCTGTCCCCCTCCAGCACTGAGAGCTGCAGGCAAAAAGAGACGAGCACTTCCTAGTGGAGGAAAGCCTCCAGTGACTCTCTTAGTGGATGAGGGGTTCAAGTTCAAGTTCAGCAAATTAGCACCACATTCTTGGCTAACACTAACCAAATGCCATCCTTCAGTTGTGTTAAGATAGTAGTGTACAAAGACAATTAGTAAACCAGTCATTAGTGAACACCAGCTAACACCATTACCAACATGATCCCCAGAAGACTCCAGTGCACAAGGTGAGGCGTCATCTGCTTCTTAAAATGACCTGTTTTACTCTGGGCTTCATTCAGTTGGAAATCATTTCCATTAAGGCTCCTTTTTCACACTAAAAATTTTGCCTTTTTAAGGAAGATACAGTTGTTGGTGTCTAATACTATTCAGAGTTTATGCTCTCAAGGGTAGACAAGAAGTTATTTACAAATTAAAGTATGACTTTTAATTAACTACCGGGATTTTACGTGGAGAATGCTACAATGGCTAAAATAGTATGAAGTGCTACTAAGTGGCAACTTAACAAATTACCCAAACTCTTTTAAAAAAAAGTAGTAAGGGCTGGAGTTGTAGCTCAGTGGTGGAAAACTTGCTTAGCATGTGCCAGGTCCTGGGTTCCATTCTCAGCACCAAAAACAAACAAACAAACATACACACACACACACACACACACACACACACAATCAGGACGTGGAGGAACTGTCTTAAAATCAGACCATTAATAAAGTTTCAGTGATACAAGGGCATATACTGAAGCCTGTGATTTATGAAAGGCTTCCAGAAATGACGAGTGGACAGTGCATTCCAGTCAAGGCCCATCCAGATGGGCAGCTGGTCTGGCTGAGGTGAAAATTCTTCCTCTATCAGGACAGGAATATAAAAACGTCACAGTTAAAGAAGACTTCTGGACAGAGAAGTAGATTGCTTCCTTTTCTGGAAAAGTCTGGCCAAGAAAGGAAACATCCCTATGCTCACTGTTCCCCTCCAGGCCAGGGCAGCAAGGGACTCACCACTCACCCTCCTATTCAGTCTACGGAGGCAGCACCAGAAACTGACCTGAGTCTTCTGGAGGCTGGCCGCAGGTCTTCCTCAGGGCTGCAGGAGAACTGGCTAGGCAGGGGCAGTGCTGCACAGAGGGCTCCGGGGCGGGGCCAGCAAGCCTTTGGGGTGCAGCAGGGTGGCCCTGGAGTGTGGGAGAGCTGAGGCTTTGCAGGACATCAGGAGGGACCCAGGACTAACGGGCATGACTCTCTGGCACCTTTGGGCAGATGGAGGGTAATTGAGCAAAATTTGGACAATAATCATAAAACACCTCTTACCATGTTAGAGTAAGTGAGCAGAATGGATTGCCAGTGTGTTACTTCAAACAGAACAGCTCTGATAGCAAAGACCCAGGGATTTGAAACACACAGGACTTGGAAGGGAGGGGGCCTTGGCTCTCTCTGGTGCTTGAGGACATAAGTTTCTGTTTTCTATATTTTTACCCACTATGTTCTGATGGCATCCTTATGCAGCTTTGGCCCCTGGTACCACCCTTGATAGATGACTAAGCCAGGAGGAAGTACTCAGCTCAAGATCACGGTGCCAGGAGGCCGCTGGGACAGGCTGTGCTCCTTAGCCTGTTTTAACCCCCACACCTGTGCTCTTAGCCACTACACTCCTCCATTCCCTGAATCCTAAGGCAGTGAGCACCCTTCTAACACTATATCACTTCCAGAATGTCACCTTGAGAACAAGAGGGCAAAATTATCCCTTCAGTCCCCACAATTTGCTCCTGCATCCCAGCACCCTGCTTGTTGCTCTTTGTTTGTGCCAGGCCTTATGTGCAGTGTCAGGAATGTAGAGGAGGAGATCCCGGAATTGCAAAACCTGGAGAGCTATGTGGTTACGAAAGCTGATGCACACAGGGGAAGGAAGTGCTATAGGAAGTGCTCCCTATAGCACTCAACCCCATGGCAGCACAGAGTCCCAGAGGCAGTGACCGCCAAGACCAGGGCCCACAAAGCCCCAAAAGCCAGGCCAAGGCAGATATAGGGCTGGCCACTGGCAAAGCAACTACCTCATCCATCTGAAGTAGAACTCCTCTCTGAAGAGGGCTCACTTTGATCCTCCTGGGCCAGGAAGGGCAAGGCATACCCCACCCCGCCCCACTAAAAAGCTTATTTGCCTACTGTTAACACATTAAACATTACACAAGTCATTGAGTATTTCAGTGTTTGTTTTTTAGGTCAGTAACCGAATGGGTATGGAGTGAGCGCATATTGTGGACTGCTAATTTCTGAGAACTCTTGGTGGCAAGTAGGATTCCTCTCAAAATGGTAATTCTCATAACTGTTGTTTAAGAGCTTCTGGCCATGCCGGGCATGAGCACCAGTGGGTGCCTCTGTTTGCCAGTAAGCTGGAGGAATCCCAAGCACTTTCACTTCTTCTTTTGCCCCCCCCCATTATGGACTTGAAGTTGTCATCCAATTTCTGTCTTCTTCTTCTGCTGCTTCTTTTATTTTTGTGTGTGCTGGGAATCAAATCCAAGGCCTGTACATGCCAGGTAAGTGCTCTACCATTAGGCTAACTCCAGCATTGCCATCCAATTTCTAAGTGACCATTTAAAAGACATTTTTAATCTGCATATATGGAGCAGAATGTGTCAGTTCTTCTAGAGGAGCTGGTGGAGAGAGGGTCCATTCTGGTGCATGGATGAGGCCCCAGAGCAAGGCAGGGATTCGCCATGCCCTATGTTCCTCCATATCTCCAGCTCTGGTGCACCTCTCTCTGTGGCAGTCTGTCTGCACAGGCTTCAAGGAAAGGAGAGGGCCTCCATAAAGCCACATGCAGACCTCCCACAGCTCCCAAAGAGAGCTGACTACTATGGCTCTGCTTACCTTATCATACATATGCCACACAGGGGTGCCCTGGTGGGTGACACTGGCCACACACAGTGTTCTTCCTCCAAGGAGAAGTCCTACCTTGTCCTGCTTAAAATGCTTCTAGGAAAGCATTTCACTGTCAATATAGGAATCTGCAATAGTGAGTCAGCCAGGATCAAAGGTCTGTTGGCATGTACATTGAAGAAAGCATAATAGGTACTTCATGAGAGTCTGCTAGTGGAACTTGTGGCCTTCAGGATACACAGGACAAACAGCATTTATTCATCCATGAACATCTGCCAGGGGCTTACTCTGTGATGGGCACTTGAACAAGGGCTAAGAATTTGCTAGTGAAAATGAGTGTTCTCAATCCAAGGAACTCACAATCCATAAATGCTTCTGTCTTATAACTGCTATAAATGAAGCTAGAATAGTACCACAGATTCTGGAGAAAACAATGACTTCTCTATGTGATAATAAGACAGAGAGGGCAGAGAGACCAGTCTTGAGTTACTCATCAGGTAGGGTGGAGGTGGGGGGACTCCAGGATTATGGAGAAGTCAGGGCGAGTTGCTGTGAAAACTGAACATAGACATGGGGGTTGGAGTTGCAGGGAATGAGCCAAAAGCGGAAGCAGATCCAGCTTCACATCACCAAGGCCTCGGGTACTGCCCCAAAAGGGGGTAGGGGTGGTTCCCACATGATGTGACGTGGCAGGAAGATATGTGATTTTGTCCAGTCTTTTGCCTAGTACACAATCATTTCCGGGCGGGGAGGGAAGAGAGTTCACATATTTGAATTTTTCTAATTCAATGGAATCTGCAGATGAAATGCTCAAACACCAATAAATATTCTTTAAATAAAGAGGGGAATGCTGCAGGCACATTTGGGGGGCATGGTCCCACCTGTGAACCCTACCAGTGGTCTCCAGAGGGGGAAGGTGAGACAATACATGATAATGAAGGAATGCTCAAAAAGCTACTTGTGGGCTGGGGCTGGGGCTGAGTGGCAGAGCACTAGCTTAGCACATGTGAGGCACTGGGTTCGATCCTCAGCACCACATAAAAATAAATAAATAAAATAAAGGCATTGTGGGGGCTGGGATTGTAGCTCGGTGGTAGAATGTTTGCCTAGCATGCTAGAAGTACTGGGTTCGATTCTCAGCATCACATATAAATAAATAAAATTAAAAAAGGTCCATCAACAACTAAATAAATAAATAAATAAAAATAATAAAGGCATATGTCCATCTACAACAAAAAATTTTTAAATGCTACTTGTATTTTTCTTTTCAAAATGAGGAGAAACTGGCTTTACTCATATTTAACATGTGGACAGGTCCTTGTGCTCTTCCTGATGGAAGAGGAGCCTGTGACGCGTGGGGTGACGCGTGGGGTGACGCGGGCCCTCACCCACAAGTTTACTTTAGCATCTCAGCATGTTGCAGTTCACATGCTTCAAGATATCATGGTTGTGGTTAATTAAAACAAACAAACAAAAACAAACCAAGGCACTTAAATAGTCAGAGCTTTACCATACTCTAGTGATCTGGGATGTAACAATGAATGTCTCTTGTGACAAAGTGGTTCACTGGCCAGCATGTAACTTAATTCTTCAAAGAGCCAAAGAATTAAAAGAGGTAAGGATATTTCTTTGTGAAATCTGGAAACTTTTAAAAAAGTAACAAATGGCTGTAGCAGTGTGTCATTTAGCTTTTTTTCTTTTAAACAAACACATTCAAATCTGCTTCTTCAAGGAAAAGGTGACCATCTCTCAGAGTTATGGCTTTTCAACATAATCTGTGCCAAGAACAGAGTATTTATGAACACGGATGTCTGTAAAACATCCTGTGATCTGTATCATGAGTGGCCTCAGAGGCCTATGGTTAAGACTAAGTCCCCAGGTTAGTATTATTGGGAAGTAGAACTTTAAGAGGTTTTTAGGCCACTGGGGTGTGCCTTGAAGGATCAGACAGTGGGACTCCAGCCTTATTCTCTTTTGCTTCCTGGCCATGAGATGAACAGCTTTTCTATCATGTCTTCCTTATTACACAAGGGCCCCAAAGCAATGGGACCAATTATTTGAGTATGAAAGCTCTACAACTGTTAGTCTAAATAAGCCTTTCCTTGAGGGATGGTGGGGGGCTGGGCTTGTGGCTAAGCGGTAAAGCACTCGCCTCACATGTGTAAGGCCCTGGATTCGATCCTCAGCACCATGTAAAAAAAAATAAATAAAATAAATGTACACATAAAAAGGAAAGAAAATACTCTAAAAAATAAGCCTTTCCTCCTTATAAATTGTTTTATCTCAGATATTTGTTATAGTAATGCAGAGCTGACTAGTAAACTAATATGTTTTCATAATTATGAGTTTATGTGCCAAGGATTCTAGAAGAATACCATCTACATAAACACAAGAGGAAACCTCAGAAACCAGAATCTCCACCTTCCCTGACAGCCCCTGAACAAACACCAGCCTAAATTCATCAAGGGTCTTTGCATGATTGGATGGATAATGGAACTGAAAAACAAGTACTCTGGGCTGGGGCTGTAGCTTGCCTAGCATGTGTGAGGCGCTGGGTTTGATTCTCAGCACCACATAGAAAAATAAATAAATAAAATAAACTTATTATGTCCAACTACAACTAAAAATACATTTTAAAAAACGCATTGTGTCCATCTACAACTAAAAAATAAAAATAAAAACAAGTACTCTGGCACAGAAGCACAGTCTATGTACCATGTTTTTCTGTAAATGCCATTAGAACTTGGACCTGAATCAAACCAGAACTTAGAACGAGGCCTTCAAATGTTAGGACTTAGTTTTAACCAAGCATTTACGAATGTGGACTTGATCACATGGCTTTCATGTTTACGAGCATGTTTATATGATAGTTTCTGTACTGTTAATATGTTGGAGAAAATTTAATCATGTTGACTTCAGCTCTCAATCCTTTAATAGGTCCACATTTTTGGCTGAACACAGTGGCCTGGGAGGCTGAGGCAGAAGGATCGAAAGTTCAAAGCCAGCTTCAGCAACTTAGTGAGGCCCTAAGCAACTTAGTGACACCTGTCTCAAAAAATAAAAAGGGCTGGGGATGTGGCTCATAGGGTAAGCACCCCTGGGTTCAATCCCTGTTACTAAATAAATAAGAGGTCCACATGTTTGTATATTTCTATGTCCATGATATGTCAGGACAGTAGTAGATGGCCATCATTTATAATAAATGATATACATGAGGTTGCTCATTCAAATCCTTTCACACAGAAAAGTATTCAAGAAGAACACCTGAGGACAACAGTGGCCCTTGTGAAGATGAGGGAGGCACAAATCTATAGCCATTATATAGCCATTGTTTTCGAGCCCCAGAGGCTGGGTCTGACACTGTTGTGGTTTGCTCTGCAGGCCTAGGCCACTGGGGTACACATTCATAGCCTCTTATTCTGTCCAGGGAGGGAGGCAGCACTCTCCTTAGGACCAGAAGCTCTTGGTAGGGGTCCACAGAGATTGTAAGCCAAATATGTGGCCCAAAGTGGGTTCTCAGGAGAGTTTCACAAAATCTGCATTGCTGCCTGCCTTCATCACCCTTGTGTCCATTCCCCATCCAGCTGGCCTATCTTCCCAGGTGGAAGACATGAGGTAACAAGAATCCCCAGAGAGAAGTAACCATGGTTCTTCTGTAACAAGCAAGGCAGCAAGGAGCTCATTACATAGCTCCAACAAAGGTACCCATCTTCCTTTGCCTTGAGCCATTCAGGGGAACCGGCACTGCCTGCAGTGATAGGCCTCTCTCTCCCCACACAGTGCCTCTGTCTGCTTGGAATATCACCCAACACATCTGGCTCTGAAGCCCTATCTATCATTCCCCAGCCCACTTCTAGCCCCAGGCCCTCTGTGAAGCAGTCTCTGGTAAGCCTAGTATAGGCGTTCTTCATTTTGGCTTCACAACGGAAGCTTCCAAGGCCCACCCCCCAGAGTTTTGGGGCTCAGGAAGTTTCTGTGGGTGATTGTAATGTGCAGCCTGGGTTCAGACCTTCTGTTCCTGTTGAAGTCACCTTTCTTCCACCTCTGTACACCTGTGACACCTTTTCTGGGTGTGTCATGTGGCATTTATCTCATTCTGTCTTATGCCACAGTTACTTGTGAATAAATCATCTCTTTAATTCCATTCTAAAGTCCTCAAGAGCAGGTAACATAGAACCTTGCTTGTTACAGCAGTGATGGGCAGTCCCCAGAATTCTAGAATGTTGCCCCTGGATAGACTCATAGCAGAGGAGCTTTCTGCTGTTGCAGGCAGAAGGGATGCAGGAGAAACTATAAATCCAGGACTCTGACTTAGGCCTTTTAGTTGAGGCTAAATCAAAACAGGTTCCCATGAGGCTACCTGGACATGTGCTGTGAAAGGGTAGACTTTTAAAAAACTACTTGGAGCGACCCTCTTGTGCTCCAAAATGTCATCTGGTCAGAACAGTGGTAGATCACCTTAGAGAAGGAAAGATGTCATCCTGTTGGTCAGCTATAATAAGGGCTCGATTTAAAAAAAAAACAAAAAAATAAAAAAAAAAACTCTTTAAGCAGTTAAAACTGTTAAGGGAGGAGATCCCTATGACATCCATTTTTTTTTTTTTTTTTTACTGATTCTCTACTTTCTCTCATGAGGCAACCTTTCTAAATCTGACTTACTTAGTCTTTTCAAGTTTACCAAAGGTAGCCCCAAACCCTTCTTAATTAAACGATACGGTTGCTCAGAACCGAATGGAATTCAACCCCTTAAATGCTGCCTGGGTGCCTTAGCCACTAAATCCAGGAGCATTTCGTGAGTGCCTGTTAGGTGCCAGGAATGCAAACACCAGCAAGATCCATCCGTGCTTCAAGGAGCTCCCAGACCAGGAGGCAAATGGGAAGACAAATACCCTCCAAGACAAGCCTCATTGGAGAAGAGGAGGAGGGGCATTCATGCATGCATCGAGGCCACCAGCACCCTCCGGGGCTTGCCGCTTCTGGGAGCACCAGCACGCACAGACACACCGCCCGTCGCCTGCGCTGCTGGCTCCCTCCCCTGTCCTGTCCTACACACCCGGGCGTCTCCAACTCCCACCCGTGACAGGGGACCCTTGAGCCCGCGTGAGACTCGCAGGCGGGGGCGGGTGAAGTAGGGCAGACTACCACATCGGAGCACCCCAACCCACGTCGGGAT